ACACAAACACATCTTCAGAAAGTCCACCAAATGTGAAAGGGATAGGAAACAAGGGACAAAAGCTAAAAGTCATGGAAACAAACGGCAGAGCGACAGACGTCATTCAGCTCTTCCTTACCAGTGGTCACTGCAAATATCCACTTTATACCCACTGCCACACTCAAAAGACAAGAGACTGCAGAATGGATGGAAGGCTTGACCCAAGTGTGTGCTGTCTGCAACACTCACTTTAACTCCTCATTGGAGATGGGAATGGCCAACCTTAGAGGGAAGTGATGATGCTGTCCTGTGAGTAGTGGCAGCGACCGAGTTGGAGTGGGAGCCACCCCTTTAGATCCATGTGCACCCAGCTGAGGGCCATTTGCCAGACTAAGTGATCCTTCCAGGCGTGCCCAGTGAGTGCTGCTGGTTGTGTCACAAGTTCCTGATTCATTTGAGATATTTTTCATTACTGAAAGTGGTTTGTAAAGTGCATTTGGTCAGCTCCTTTTAAAGGTATCCTTTCACATAGAAAGTGACTCAATATAGGGAGTGGGAGAGGAGAGTCAGAGGAAATCCTGCCCTAGTCCTTCACTCTCATACACACAGTGTGGTCACCATTTGGTTCCCTTTCAGTTTCTTCTGAGATGAGACTCAGCTGCCTGGGGTGCACTGGGAAGGTGCCCTGCTAGTGCTGTTCTGGTTGTGGTGCAGGTCGCGGAGAGACTGAAGAAGACACCTGGAGGTGCTGCTAGATACCAACTAGCCTGAAAGTCTTGAATTCAGACAATCAGCCTCCTGAATAGCTGGGTACAATCAGGTACCACCACACCAGGCTTGAAAACTTTTGAGTTTTTAAAAGAGGATTTAAAAAAAAATTTATTTTATTCATATGTGCATACAATGTTTGGGCCATTTCTCCCCCCTTCCCCCACCCCCTTTCTTACCTCCCCCCCCCGCCCCCTCGCTATCCGGCAGAAACTATTTTGCCCTTATCTAAAATTTTGTTGAAGAGAGAGTAGAAGCAATAATAGGAAGGAACAAGGGTTTTTGCTGGTTGAGATAAGGATAGCTATACAGGGAGTTGACTTGCACTGATTTCCTGTGCATGTGTGTTACCTTCTAAGTTAATTCTTCCTGAACTAACCTTTTCTCTAGTTCCTGGTCCCCTTCTCCTATTGGCCTCAGTTGCTTTAAAGTATCTGCTTTAGTTTCTCTGAGCTGAGGCCAACAAATGCTATCTAGTTTTTTAGGTGTCTTACCTATCCTCATATCTCCCTTATGTGCTCTTGCTTTTATCATGTGATCAAAGTCCAATCCCCTTGTTGTGTTTGCCCTTGATCTTATGTCCACATATGAGGGAGAACATACGATTTTTGGTCTTTTGGGCCAGGCTAACCTCATTCAGGATGATGTTCTCCAATTCCGTCCATTTACCAGTGAATGATAACATTTTGTTCTTCTTCATGGCTGCATAAAATTCCATTGTGTGTAAATACATACTTCATTTTCTTGATCCATTTGTCAGTAGTGGGGCATCTTGGGTGTTTCCATAAATTGGCTATTGTGAATCGTACTGCAATAAACATGGGTGTGTAGGTGCCTTAAAAGAGGATTTTTTAATAGGACATAAAAATAGGGATGAAAAGGCAGAATACAGGATTTTAGGGCAGAGATGCTATTTTGTATGACATTATAATGGTAGATACATGACTGAACATTTGTCTAAACCCATAGGTTCAGAATGATCCCTTAACTGTGAACTTGAGTGATTGTGGTATCAGTGAATGTCTATGCACCATAACAGAGAGACCACTCTGGGCATGATGTTGTGTAGGAGGGAATAGGAAGTCTCTACTTTCTGTTCACTTTTGCTGGGCACCTACAATTGCTTTAAAAAGCAAAATCTATTAAATTTAACTTCACCCGATAGGTTTTTATATGGCAGTTAGAAAATAAAAATGTGGTTCTTGTTGTAGTTCTTTGTACAGTGCTATCTGAGCTCTCTATCTGTCCTGGTCTGTATGTATGAAGTAAACATGGTATGTGTGTGAAGTAAAAGAGTGGGGTTTGCAGCCAGGTTCTGAAGGGGGCCAGGCATATCATAGGCAGCTATGGGAGGGTAGGGACCCTGGGAGGGAGAATTTCAGGCTTTTCCAGTGGACCAGGGTATCTCTGCCCTTGGTCTGTATTCATTGCCACTCAGATTAATTCCCTGCTATGGAGGAGCAAGAAGAACAATGACTGTCCCTTTGTATTCTTGAGGAGCACCCCCACCAAGGTGGCTCACTTGTTGTCATTGATGGACCTGCATGGACACATCGTCATCTCATGCAGTCCATGGTTGTAGGAAGGTTTGCTCTTGGTATCATGCACACTGTGGGTTTTAACAAATGTATGATGGCATATGCATCATTATGGTATCACTGTTAGACACTTTTTTGTTGCTGTAATAAATGCTTGAGATAATCAACTGAAAAAAGAAAAGTTTTACTTTGGCTTACAGTTTTTGAAGTTCCAGTTGATGAGTGCTTGCTCCTGGTGATTTGGGCCAACTGTATATTTACTTGGTTCATCATGGCAGAAGCATGTGGCAGAAGAAACCGCTCGCTTCATGATAGCCAGGAAATAAAGAGAGAGGAAGAGGAACTGGGGTCCTAGCATACTTTCCATGACCTAACTTCCACTATGCGCCACTCCCTAAATGTTCCACCTCCTCCCAAAAGCTCCACAGGCTGGTGACCAAGCTTGTAGCATATGGGTGTTTGGGGGACATTCATAGTTAAAACCATAGCAGTCATTAAGTTAGTGTCATTCCTAAAAATCCCCTCTGCTCTACCTGTTCATCCCTCCCTCATCTATTTTTCTTTTTTTACTTTTAAATTTTGAAATAATTGTGGACTTATAGGAAAGTTGCAATGATAATAACAAAAATTCCTGTTACTGCTATATGTAGCTTCCCTGAATGTTGACATCTTGCCTGACAGTACACTTGTCATAACATGAAATCAACAGTGAACGTGACTACCAGTGCAGCCCTAGACCATTTGGGTTTCACTAATATTTCTGTCAAGGGTTTTGTTTTTCAGTTCCCTGGTCCACAAGGGATCCCACAAGATATTCATTTGTCTTGCTTCCTTAGTCTCCTTTATTTCTTCTTAGGTTTGTATACTCAGTTGTGTGTGTCTGTGTCGTATGTGAAGTTCTACACTCTTGAGAAAATCTTAGGATTCCCAAACTGTTCCTAATTAAATAGTGAATTTCTAACTTGTTGTGAGATAAGACCCTCCTCTCGCATGTCTGTTGTGTTCCTATCTATTTTGTCCTCTGTCTTTAGCCTCTGAACTGCTGTTTTCCCAGAAAGACATCCATGAGACGCCCACAAATGTACGTCCTCCAGTCTTTCAGTTTTTTTCCCTAGCTGGTGGGTGAGTTTGTTTTCAGTGCAAATGGTTGACAGTTCTTTAGGCTTCTTGCCAGCATCTCAGTGTGAAGCTGGTGGTGTTTGCATTGTCTGCATCTTCAGGTGGAAACCTGGAGATGTCTGTTCTGATGTGTTTCACACCATTGGTTTTTTAACCCTAGGTTATGGTGACAATATTCCTTGTGAATATTCCAGAATGTTAGTGTTGAAGTGAGTTTAAGCAAAGGTTGGGAAAGGATATAGAACCTCCAGGGTGCCTGTGTCTTGTCAGAGTCTGTCCTGGTTGGACCCAGCAAGATTCTGCCCTGGACCCTTGGTCACACTGAATGTGTACTCTCTAAGCAAGCATGTTTGGCAGCCCCTCACCTTGGATCCTTGGTGCTGGGTGATCCTCCTGCCTGAGGATCACTCTGAGATCTCTGTGGCATTCACTGTAGCATTAACTCAGTGGCAACCTCTCAGGAGGGGGCCATTAGTGACACAGTTCACTGCTTCCCTGGCACCCGTCTACCCAGAAGTAATAGTGACACCCAGTTAGCACTCCCAGAACCATATCTGATGGCCCTACCATTTGTCCCCACTTCACTTAACCTGGGCACTGTTGTTACCATGTCATGGATGAGAAACTGAGGCAATGACACCAGATAGCGTCCCGATCACATTGCTGGTCCTTGTTCTGTTTATGGGAAATCATTCACACTGTCCTCCATTTGCTGACAGGTTTTTCTGCCTTTCTCCCCCACTTGGCTCCATGTGTGCAGGGACTTTGTGATTGTCATTGTCATTACTCTTAGTGATCTCCAGGACTTATAGAAGCCATCTGGGAATGGAAGATACCATCTGGGTGCATGTTGTGCACCTGGCCTGGGCTGCAGGTCAGCCAGCTGGGAGACCCAGTGTTCCTCCTAACACCACATTTCACCTTGCCGGGATACCATGAGCAGCTTTTCTACTGATGGATGATTGTCTACTGTTTTACTTTCTGCTGTTTCAGTTTCCTGTGGTCACCCGCAGCCTGAAAATATTAAATGGAAAATTCCAGAAATAAACAGTTCATTTCATAAGTTTTAAAGAACCTTTATTATAGTATATCATCATAATTATTCTATTTTATTATGTTATTATTAGCATAATCTGTGTGTAATTTATAAATTAAGCTTCATCAGTATGAATGTATAGAAGAAAACAGCATATATAGGGTTCAGTGCTATCTGTGGTTTTGGGCATCCTAAGGGAGTCTGGGGACAGATCTGCAGGTAAGGAGGGACTTTTACACCCATATCTGTAGAAATGTCTTGGACAGTGACTATGTTTTGAATATCTAGGCCATGTCCAGGTCTTGGTGTTGGGTCCCCTGTTTGATTTGCCCACTGGGGGACTGTGCAGTGACCATGATGTCAGGTTGTGGAGGTCTGACTAGAAGGGTCTTGGCTGAACTCCCATTTTCCCTTGAGGCTTTTTGGGTGGCTGAAATGCTCACCTCTAGTTTGTCTTTGTATCCAAGACGGAGCCCCAGCTGGGGAGCCAAGGTCTGGCTTCTGGGCCTAGCTGTGCCTTGCAGTGTGGCTCTGGAGAATGTCTTCACCTCTTGTTGCAGGTCATCCACCCGGCCAGAAGTGGCCAGCATAGAACCGCTGGGCCCCAACGAACATCAGTGCTCCCAGAAAGCGGTGGTGCAGGCCCGCCTAACTCAGCCCGCTCGCCTGACCAGCATCATCTTTGCTGAGGACATCAGTAAGGGCTTTGGGTGCCATGGGCTGTCCCTGATGGGGAGAAGAGGGGACAAGAGGGAGGCTTGTTGAGACCTCCACCTGGAGGCTAAGCAACACCCATCCCAATCCCTACTCCCTGTACTTGTGGAAGGTTCCCTCTTGTTCTACTCTTAATGGGTATCAAATCAAAATGAGGAAAGTTGTCGCAGTCTAGGAAATCACAGCTTTTCCTCCTCCATATCTGATTATCATGGTGTGGTTGTGAAGTGCAGTCACCCTTAGTGTCCATGGAGGGTTTGTTCCTGGATCCTATGGTCACCAAAGTCCTTGGAAACTCAAGTCCCTGTAGGATTTGCATAAAAGCTATGCACACCCTCCTGAGTACTTAAAAGCATCTTGGGATGACTCCTAATAACTCATGCAATGGAAATGCTATGGAAATAGTTGCACCGTGTTGTTTAGAGAATGACGATAGGAAAGAGTCTGAGGGCTGAGGCTCTAGCATGTGCAAGGCCCTGGCTTCGATCCCCAGCACCACAAACAAACACACACAAAAACAAAACTCGTGTCTGCTCAGTACAGACCCTTTTTCCTGTATATTTTCATCTGGAGTTGATTAGATCTGCAGCTGTGGAATCCACAGATACAGGGGGTTGACTGTACTTAGAAAACAATGTAATGTTCTATTATGAATGCTCCCTTCTCACACCATGGTAGGATATCTTTCATTTTATTATAGAATTATTCTTATTATCATTATGTCTGTTTTGCATTGCTGGGGATAACTCCAGGGCCTTGTGCATGCTAAGAAAGTGCTATACCACTGAACTACACTCCCAGCTCCTGCTACAAAATTATTTTATTTTTTTGGTGGTACTGGGGTTTGAACTCAGGATCTCAATACGGTAGGCAGGTGCTCTATCACTTGAGCCATGCCCAAGCCCTTTTTTGTTATTTTTCACACAGGGTCTTGATTTTGCCCAGGGCTGGCCAGGCCTTAGAATGCAGTTCTCCTACCTGTGGCTTCCCATGTAGCTGAGATCACAGGCACACACCATCATGCCCAGCTTACTGGTTGAGATGGGGTTTTGCTAACTTTTTGCCTTTGCTGGTCTTGAACGGTAATCCTCCTGATTTCTACCTTCTGACTAGTTGGGATTATAGGTGGGAGCCACTGCACCTGGCTGAATTATTTTTAATACTGAATTATATTTTTTTAGAAAAAAAATTTTTTTTGGTGGTACTGGGACTTGAATTTAGGGCCTCGAAGCTGGGGCCTCACACTTGCTAGGTAGGCACTCTACCACTTGAGCCACTCCACCAGCAATTTTTAGTGTTGGGTATTTTTGAGATAGGGTCTCCTGAACTATTTGCTTGGGCTGGCCTAGAACCATGGTCCTTCCAGAAGCTAGAATTACAGGTGTGAACCACCAGCACCTGGCTTTTTTTTTTTTTTTTTTTTTTTTTCATTTTTTGTGAAACTGAGTTTGAACTCAGGGCCTTCCATTTGCTAGGCAGACATTCTACAATTTGAGCCATGCCCAGGCCTTTCTACTTTATAGGTCCTGGGTCAGCCTGGATCTCAGTCCTGTTTATGCTTCTTGAATAGCTGGAATGACAGGCACATGCCATTACACCCAGCTTCTATTGACTGAGATCGGTTCTCTGAACTTGTTGCCTCGGCTGGCCTTGAACCGCAATCCTCCTGATCTCTGCTTCCTGAGTAGCCAGGTTTATGGGCGTGTGCCACTGTGCCCAGCTCTGAATAGTAGTCTTCACAGAAGCTTGTCCTGTAAGCATTTCCTTATATTTGGCATTTAGAGTGTTTTTAAATGTTCATTTCAGTATTATATATATGATAATAAATATTTTTATACAGAGAAAAATTTTGGGTTTTGTAGCTTATTCCTCCCTAGGATAGATACCTGATTTTACTGGGTCACAGCACATGAATTTCTTTTTTTTCTGAGATGGACTTTTGCTATGTTGTCCAAGCTGCCCCCAATCTCCTAGACTCAAGTGATTTCCTGTTTCAGCTTCCTAAGTAGCTGGAGAGGGCTGGAGGAGTGGCTCAAGTGGTAGAGTACCTGCTTTGCAAGCCTGAAGCTCTGAGTTCAAACCTCAGACCCACCAAAAAAAAAAAAAAGGCTAAGTAGCTGGAGATACAGATGGGCACTGCTATGCCCAACAATAGAAGTGTTTTAAAGGCTTTTTTTTTTTTTTTGGCGGTACTGGGGCTTGAACTCAGGGACTTGGACTTGCTAGGCAGGTGCTCTACCACTTGAGCCATACCTCAGCCTTAAAGGCTTTTTTGATACTGCTTTTCAACATACATTAGCAATGCACAAGTATTTCTATATGGTGCCTGGAGAGTGAACAGAATAAATTTGGTATTATGACTGCCATCCTTATGCTAGAGAATTCCCCAGGGAATGAATGACATTTATACCTTATTCGCACAGCAACTGTAACACTCTTCTGTGGCTTCACTTGTTCCATCTGTAGTATAGTTGATAGTCTTATATAAAAACACCAGCAGAATTAAAACAGAAAAAAGGAACAGACAAAGCCACCAGTCTCAATTCCTGCTCTCAATGCATGGACAGGGCTTTGACCCAGCGTTGTTTAGATGCTACCTCATCATACTGTAGTGTGTGCCATTTTACTTCATGGTTACTTCCTGAATAAACCAGAATTTTCCTTGAGGAATTTTTTGTTTTTAAAGCACAGCTTTAAATGCACGTGCTCAAGTTAGAGCAGGAAAATAGCACCAAGTCTGTTTCCTCAGAACGCCCAGATTAGTTAATACGTTAAATTTTGGAAGGGCTGCGTGCTAGGCCCCTTCTTAGTTTCTGAGGGTGAATTGGGTTCTCCAGGCTTCATCGTAGCGGTGTTTTGTTGGTTGCTCTAGTCTCTGCCAAAGAACAAGGCAACTTGGAATTTGAGGCCCTGGAAGCAGTGCAGAGCTTGGGTGTTGTCCTCAATGCTGACTGCTCTCTCCATTCCTCCAGCCACAGGCCAGGTGCTGCGCTGTGATGCCATTGTTGATCTTATCCACGGCATTCAAATTGTCTCTACCACCCGTGAGCTCTACCTGGAAGATTCCCCGCTGGAGCTGAAGATCCAGGCTCTGGACTCTGAAGGTGACCACGTTCCCCTGCTCTTCAGTAACCTGCCAGCATGACTATAGCCTAAATTTGTCACAGTGTTTATCATGTCCATTGCTGCCGGGAGAGAAAAGTGGGTGCAAGGGGAGAAGTGGAGGAGGTAGAAGCCACCTCTGCGGGGCCTCATTCCCTTCATGGTGTCAAGCTGTGGCCCCGCCAGGTGCCCATGGAAACTGCACCCAGCCCATGTGCTTTCTTGGGGCTTTAGCTGACCTGGAGGCAGACTGAGTGCTCATGGGCAGTGATGGCAAAGTTGTCTCAGGGAAGCTAACATTCGGGGTTGTGATGGGAAGTGGGAGAGCTGGTGTGGGGACACTGGGGACAATGGGACCCAGTATCCCTGTTTGGCTTCCAGGGCTGGTTTTAGTTTCCTAGTCCAGACCTTAGAGCCCATGTGTGAATGCTTGGCTTAGCATACTGTCCTTCCCTTCTTAACTAGCATCAAATAGTAATTGTTTCTGGACTGAGGATCTTCTAGTGGCCTGTCTGGTGGTCAGCAGACTGGGCTATATCCTGACCTCTTGGTAAGGGAGTAAAGGGAATGAATGTGTTATTCAAGTTTCTGTTGCTGTGAGCTAATACCTGAGACAATCAATTTAAAAAGAGGAAAGGTTTATTTTGGCTCATGGTTTCAGAGATTTCAGTCCATAGTTGTCCCTATTGCTTTTGGGCCTGTGATTAGTAGCACGTCATGATGGGGAGTGTGTGGCAGAAGAAACTGCTCTCCAAGGCATGGGGTGCTGATAATCCCCTTTCAGCACAGACCCCCCCCCTCCCCCTCAAGAGACCTAACTTCCTCCTGTGAGGTTCCATCACATCCAAAGAGCACCACTGTCTGGGGACCAAGCCTTCTACACATAGACCTTTAGGGGGACACCTACTAAACCTTAGCAGGGAAGTTTGTAGGTGAAGATGCTAGTTGAAGAAACTAGATGTCAGGCAAAAGCCACCTCAGAAGATGATCTTCCTAAACTTTTGGGAGGACCAAGTGTCATCTTGTCTTTGAAACCTTTCCTGAGTACTCTAGCTCCTTACCTTTCTTTTTGTACTTTCTTAATTCTTTGTTTTCTAGATCAGGGCCCTTTTTCCTAGACAATATTGAGATTTGAGGCAGGATAATTCTCTGTGGTTGGCAGTGTTCAGTCCCTTACAGGATGTTTAGCTGGATTCCTAGGCTCTACCTTCTGAATGTCAGGATTCCCCCAGTTGGGACAATTAAGAATGTCTGCAGGCATGGCCACATATCCCTGGTAAGGGGAGGACAAACCACTGTTTCTGAGCATCTGCTACGATCCTTCCTTCTTCCCTGTGTTCACTCATCAGATGAGCTCCCCAAGTTCTTGAGCAGTTTCTCCATCTGCAAGAGCATGATAGGTCTGCTTACCACAAGGACTATCCTTAGTCCCGTGTGCATTCTCAGCAAACAAGGTGCTCCCTGAGCAGTTTGTACAAACTGAGATTTGTACAGACTGGGACCCCACAACCTCAGACTCACTTGTAAAGAACAAATTTTACAGGTGTATATACTGGGTGAGCTTCCCTCATCTGAAGATCTAGAATCTGAAATGTGCTGGTCTGAAACTTTTTGAAGCACTCCAAGAAAGTCTATGCAGATTAGTCCCAAATCTGAAAAAATGAAATCAAACCCTTCTGGTACAAAGCATTTTGGAAGAAAGGTACTCAGCCTATAGGTAGATGCTGTTTATAATCAGTGTGAGGAGACAGTCGAGTTGGGGCAGGTGACCCCAGGGAAGGTGAGGTGGGATGAACATCACCAAGCTGTGCTGGTCACAGAGTGTCTGTGGCATCTGCTCAGCTCAGCCGTTGTTGCTCCAGAGCAGCTACAGCTACAGTGATGCTTCACTGACTGGGCATGCCACCTCCTTATAACACTTTATTTATAAAAGCAGAAAGGAAGCCAGGTTTGTTCTAGGGACTGTAGTCTGCCATCCCCTTCTCTTTGACCACTCTGTTCCATTTCCTGCCTAAAATCACTCAAAAATGTTGAGATTTATATACCATGAAGTTTACCCATTTATAGCATACAATTCCATGTTTTGTCTATTCCAATGTTGTGCAACTATCATTATCTAATTTTAGAACTTTCTCATCAGCATGAAAAGAAACCCAATGTCCATGAACAGTCACTGCCCATTTTCCCCTTTCTCCAGCCCCTGGCAACCTGTGCCTGCATTTCTCAGTTCTGGACGTTTCGTGTCAGTAACGTCATACAGCACAGTCATACACACGTAGTCTTTTTGGACTGGCTGCTATGCACACTGTTTCAAGGTCTGTGCATGGTGCAGTGTGTGTCAGGGTTCATTCCTTTTGATTGCCAAACCGCATTCCATTGTGTGGACAGATGGACTTTTTAGCTCATGAACCATGCTGCTGTGAACCTCCACGTACAAGTCTCTTTGTGGATATGTCTTCAGTTCTCTTGGGCACACACCTATGAGTGGGTTGACTGGTCATATATGCCTCTGTGTTTCACTTTCTGAGCAGCTGCCAGGCCGTTTCTAAAGTGGCAATGCTGTTTCACATTCTTACCAGATGGGAATGAAAGTTCCAGTTTTCCCAGTCCTTGCCAACACTTGTTATCATCCATCTTTTTGATTCTAAATGTTACAAACCTGCTGGCTGGGGTCCTTTTGATCTACTGAGATAGGAATTGTGGTAGGCAATCAGAAAGTTCTTACAGTTATTCCGAGCTCTTGGCAAGTATTTGCAGATGGCAGAGTGGATGACAGTGGGCAGCAGCAGTCAGCCTTGGGCGTTTGACAGAGCAGTGGATGTGCCTCAGGGTTCAGGGCAAGACTCTTGAAAACAAGGGCAGGCTCAGGAAGGAGGCCTCTGGCAACGAGGGCAGCAACATGGGGCTCACCCCACCCAAGGCCCTAAGTGTTACAGCTTTGTGTCCCTGGGAGGGATCAGGGCAGAATTTTCCAGTGGCCGATCACAGCCAGCTTGCTGTCAGTTTTACTTTTACAGCCCATATCGGGTTTACTTTTGTCTCTTATCTCGATGCAGATGTGGACGTTTTTACTTCTTTGCTGCTGACCACTGCTCACCCCTCCCCTGCTCCTGTCAATTTCACCTATATTGATCAGCTGTGATGGCCTGGGGTTGCTATAGTAGGGTTCAGCTCCTGCTACCTCTTGCTGGCCTCACTGCTGCCCTACTGTCTGGACAGCTGTGGCTGCTCTGCCTGCCACTGCTAGCACTTCTGCCACTTCTGCTCACACCTGTCATTTTGTAGTTTTGCAGCAGGCTGATCTCTGCCAGGCTGGCTTCTTGTTCTAATACCATGGCCCCTGCTCTGCTTGCCGGCCTCCTGCTGCCCTGCTGCTGGGTGTCGCTGCTGTCGCTTTTCTCGCTGATGCTGCTTTTCTTCTTTTTCTTTGTGTTACCAGTTTAGCAAAAGTAGGTAAGGCGCTGGAGAGAAAGTCTTTACTAGGCCTACGTAATGTTGCAGTGCCAAGAGGCAGCACAGGAGGGTGTCTTCACCTGCTCACAAAGTGAGTTGAGCAGCCTGTTTAAATAGCCAGAAATAGGGTTGGTGCAAGTGTGTCTATACCAATCATGGCAGTCTCCTGGGTTTACACCAATCACAGGTCTTCAGTTGGGCCAAAGTGCTCCCCTCTGGCCTAGGTGGAAGTGGCTGTTGTGGTGGCAAAAGTCCTTTCTGGGACAGTGCCTTCTGGAGCTGGAGTCCTGCTTTCTGTGCTGACATGAGGGCAGTCTTTTGCTCAAGGGAGCTGGGTCCTGGAGAAGGGTCTAGCAGCTGTCAATTAGGGAGTTAAGTCTCCCCAGCCCCAACATCTCAGCACACTTAAAGGAAACTTAAACTGCCAGAAGGGTGCTTACAACAAAGGCTCATCAGTAACAGCACTTTAACAATATTAAACAGTGCTCTAACTTCTATCCTAGGTACCAGGGAGAGGTGGGATTCCTACCATCTGTTTCATAAAGTCATTTTACATCAAATCATCTTAAAGCCACTGCCCCACCCCCATTATGAGTCTGTTTTCTCTAGACAGTTGGTAGAGCTGTTAGGAGCAGGCCTTCCTAGTCCTACTGCCACATAGGAGCAGATGCCCGGTGACCCTGGATGGTTACCTTTTACACTCTCCTAAAGTTTCATTGGAACATGCAGTCTGTTCCAGAGTGAGAAGTCACCTCGTCTACAAAGACCAGAATTTTGTCATTGACCAGTTCCCCAAATCAAGATCCAACCTATGCTATAGATGGTTAACTTACTTCCTCGTTGTCTACTGTGAAGGTATTTTTTTTTTGGGATCTTGGGTTTGACCTCAGGGCCTCACACTTGCTAGCCAGCCCTCTACCACTTGAACCATGCCCCCAGCCCTTTTCCGCATTGGTGACTTTTGGGATAGTTCTTACATGACTAGTACACCCTGGTCTGCAGTCTTCCTATTTGTGCCTCCCACTTAGGTGGGACGACAGGCATATGCCACCACGCCCAGCCATTGTCAAAATGGGGTCTCCCAAAAATTTTGCCTGGACTGGCCTTGATCTGCAGTCCTCCTGATCACCTCCCAAGCACCTAGGATGATAGGCTTGAGCCACCACCTCTGGCCTTCAGTGTCTCTTTTGTGAAGATGACTTTGGCCCTTGTAAGCTTTGAGGACCTTGCTGTCTTAGAAGGGCATATCTTATCTAGATTTGTGGCATTGGTTAAAAAGAGTCTGTGCAGCTCACCAAGCATTATCAGGCATTATGCTTAGAAGCAAGTCTTTTACCCCACATGTGGGTGGTATGATGTCCATTGTATAGAAAAGGAAGCCATAGTTCAGAGAGCTTAAGCAACTTGCCTAAAAACATGCAGCCCATGGGTGGCTGAGCTGCATCTGGGACCTGCAATGTCAGACTCTGTTGCCTGAGCTATTTTTTACTTGGCCTTGCTGCCTGCCTCCTGCTGCTACTTTTTTTTTTTTTTTTTTTCCTGGCCATTGAGACTCTCCACACATGGCTGGAATCTGGCTTCTATGGTTTGCATGTAGTTCTCCTCCTCTGCCTCCTGAAACTCATGTTGAAGTTTGGTCTCCAGTGTAAAGGTTATTAAGAAGTATTGGGACCTTTAAGAGGTGATTAGGTTGTTAAGAGGGATTAATGAAGTTCTTGCTGGACTGGATTAGTTACCTTGATGCAAGGATACAACTTTGCTTTGTCTCTTCTGCATGTACACGGTGTGCCTGCTTGACCTTCTGCATTTCTGTAGTGTTACGATGTGGTTCAACAGGAGGTCACAGGCGTGCCTTGCCAGACATGACAGCCTGATGTTAGACATCTAGCTTCCAGATGTTTATTTATCTGTGAGCTAAATAAACCTGTTTGCTTTATAAATTACTCAGGGTGTTAGCTTTCTGTTATTAAGATGGAGGAAAAAATACCTGAGAAATCAACTAATACAGAGGAAGGGTTTATTTTGGATCATGGTTTCAGACCCCAAATGATTGCTTTACCCTGTTGCTTTGGGCCCATGATGAGGTAGCACGTCATGGCAGGAGTGCATAGCAGAGGATTCTCATGGAAGATGAGAGACAAAGAAAGGGGGAACAGGCCAGGGCCCAGTATCCCCTTCCAGGCCATGTCCCCAGTGACCTAATTTCCTTCACTAAGCCCAACTTCCTAAAGGTTCCACCACGCCCCAGTAGTCCCATCAACTAGCAACTAAGCCTACCATATGGCCTTTGGGGACCATTTCAAGGTCCCTACTGTAACTTGTGGTCTTGGGCACTCTGTTACAGCAACTGACATAGATGCAGACACTGCTCTTTTAACCTGAGGCCATCAGCAAAGTGCAGTCCTGGCCCTCACATGCCTTGCATATCAGTAGAACTGGATGAACTCAGGGTCACCCCAGGTGCTCTCTCCTCTCCTATGCTGCCTGAAACAAATGGAGTGAAGGCCCAGGGAGCTCTCCCTAGCTGCCCCAGGTAGAATCTGCTTCTTCCTGCTGACTTCTCAGCCCTTTACTGGCCCTTGCCTTAGGGTACAGAGCTTTTTCTACTTTGTCTGGTCAAGTTTAACTGTCTCATCAAGTTTAGCAGTTGGTGGGTAGAATTGGAGTAATTTCATTCTTCTGCCTGCTTCTCTGTTTGACACTGGACTTTGGGCCCAGTGAACAACTGGGAAATGTTTGTTCAGTTGAATGCTTTAATGTTTTCCTGTGACCCTCTTGGGATAGGACAGGGGAGACTGTGTTCGTGGGTCTCCTGGTTAAAATTAGCTCTTGGCTGTGAGGCTTCAAGTCAAGGACTCTGCTTTTGCACACAGTATGTGCCTGTAGCTACTTTTTGAAGGGAAAATGCAAGACTTTGGGCAAGGATGTCTTAAAACCATTTGCCAAACCCTATTCTCTAAACCTGCAAAGCTGTCACTGAACGTGTGAGGCTTGGGACCTGTTTCATGGAGTGGTGCCTTCCTCACTTACTCTCCCCTCTCTGCAGGCTCACAGTGATCAAGCAACACTGTGGTCTCATGTAGTTTTATTTTGTCAACCAGAAAACTCAGTCTTCCTATCCTTCCCACAAGACCAGCTTCACACAGGACTATTGGTTCAGACAGCACAGGCTTGGTTTACTGCTCTGCTGCTATTCTCTTGAAATTTGTAATAAAGTTTTTGTTGAACTTATGTTTTATGAATCTGATGGGACAGTGAAGCATGTGCTGGAAACATGGAGCCTCAGTAATTCACAGTGCTGCTTCCCTACTTCCTCCCTGCCTCCTGGGATGGGTTCTTAGCCACCTGCTCCCTATCTCCTGTGTCCTGTGTCCTGCCCAGCCTCTTCTTCCCTTTCCTTGTTCTTGACCATTTCTAACTTTCTGTCCCTGGTAGAGGCCTAAGTGGGAGGGCTGGGTGTATGTGCCTCAGGCACAGTATGTCAGGCTGGAACCTGGTGAGTCACCTGCCTGCAGCAGGCCCTGGGAAGGAAAGAAGCTTGACTAGACTTCCCCAAAGTGCAGCCCAGCTAGGATCCAGTGTGTTGGTACAGTGGTTGGCAGGAGAGGAATCCAGTAGCCAGTCCCTGGCTGGCCTGTGTTGTGCTTAAAGTTGTGTTCTCTAGGTGTGTGTTGTCACCCTGGACAACTCTTGCAGGAGTACTTCTCAGCTGGCCCCATGCCTGGGAGTCTCCTGTTTCTCTTTCCAACCTTCTGGTTTGCCTTCCTTTGGCACTTTCCCTTGCCTTTCAAATGAAGGCCCCACATTTTTTTTCTGTGTGGAGCCTTGCAAATTATGCATCCAGTCGTCTGTTCCTTTTCCTGAGGTGGTAAAGCTCATAGAAGCCTGAGGACACTTCCTACTCTCGGGATTACCATATATTCATCTTTCCCCTTCCACCTGTGAATGTGGTGGGCTTGCAGGGGAGATGGGGGTGGGGGTAAAAGATGCTAAAGACAGAGCCCCATGTGCAGCCACCGAAGTGTCTGAAGATGTGACCTGTGATTCTATGGGGCTTCTTTGCCTCCATCTACTCACTGGGGTGCCTTCTTAATTTGATCACCTAACAACCCTTTGGGTTAGTGTTTTCATTTCCATTTTACAGAAGAGAAAAGTGGTGCTAGAAGTTAGTAGGTGTTCAGGATGCTCTTGGGGTATGGAAATGGATGCAACCAAGGAACAGCCTCCTGGGCTTTGGTATGGAATTGCCAGTAATCACTTCATAATCTAATTCAATCATAGGAAAATCCATATTTGTCCCCATGAGTAAACTGCAGGGTTAGCCTGCCTGGCTCTGTAACAAGAGGGCAGGAATTTGGGCCTGCTATGCTTTGTGGGCATCCTGTTTCATCTCACCATGGGAAAGGAGGTGCCCATGTGTTAACACAGGAAGGAGCTAAGCTGGAGGTGCTGAGCTCCTTGCCCCTGGAGTATGGAAGGAAGGTCTCAGCCCTCATGTGATGGGGAAGTACTACCCTGGGACTGACTAGATTACTTCCAACTTTGTTTGTAGCCCATGAACATCTGTGGTGTGTCTGCCTTCTTCACCTCATACTGCAGATGTTAGGAAGACATTACTTTGGTATAAATGCCTTGAGGTTTGAGAAACCACAGGCTTCCTCCCCTAAACCTCTAAGAAAAGCAGTCTCCCTGTGCCTGCATCCATCATGATGAAGTTTGCCTTCCTCTGATCAGGTGCCCACTTTGGTGGGAAGATACCCCCTGTAAAGAAAGGCTGCTCTTCCTAAAACATGCTGAAAAGTCATGACAAAGGTAACACAGTTTGTGCTAAGGATGGTTTAATTTGGCTTTTGACATCCTAGATAAGGGAAAGTAAGATCCCAGGTCCATCCAGCTCTAAAGATGTTACTCTTTGTTATTGTCTGGATCTGAAACATCTCTCAAAGGCTCATGTGTTGAAGACTTGGTCCCCAGTACAGCGGTATTTAGTGATATAGTTTTCAGGAAGTGATTAGATCATGAGGGCTCTGACTTCATTAGTGGATTAATTCACTGATGGGCTGTTGAGAGGTGGTGGAAACTCAGGAGGTAGAACCTGCTTGAAAGAAGTGGGTCCATGGGGACACGTGTTGTCCCCATTCTCCCCCACTCCCCACTATGAGGTAAGCAAGTTTGTACTGTCTTCTATGATGCTTTCCTTACCACAGGCCCAGAAACAGGGGGCCAGTTTATCATGGACTAGAGCCTCTAAAACTCCAAGCCCAAATAAATGCTACCACCTTTTTTTGTTTTGTTTGTTTTGGTGGTGCTGGAGTTTGAACTCAGATCTTTGTGCATGCTGGGCAGGTGCTCTACTGTTGAGCCATGCCTCAAGTCCACATTATCTCCTTTTAAATAGTTTCTTTTGTATATTTTAACACAGCGATCAAAGTTTGGCTAACACAACCTTTATACTGTAGAAAGAACCCTTTGAAGCCCCAGATGTGTATTTTGGGGGTTGGCCAGGCAGAGAATGTGGATGAGGGATGTGGAATAGGTGTGGGAAAGGTGCAGCAGGGTGTGTAAAACAGAGAACATAGCCCATCTGGAGAGACTGAGCTAGCTGATCAACAGGGAGAACAAGGCCCAGGTGTCTAGATCTTTGCACTTTTCAAGAGATGTTGAAAGTTGGGTTTGCTCTTGTCATTGCTTATTGTGAAAGCATGGGTCAGAATGCTCACACATGGCCAGCCAGGCTTTCAGATCTCAGGCTGGCTAGGCCTGGCTCCCAGGAGTGTCACAGTTAAGGTGAGGAGAGAAGAGTTGTGTGAAACCAGACATGGGCACTGTCACCTCATCCCCGAGTTTTTGCCCCTGAACTGGGAAGTAAGGGCATTTCTTCCCCAGAAAGTGTCAAGGGGGAGTGTGTGACTCATGTCTCCATGGCCTTCTAAACTGTAAAGTGATGGTAATGGTGTTATGTCACACAGAACCCATCATGAACAGTCAGAGCAGGGAGGGTTCAACGGAAATATCACAAGTTTCCCTAAAACAGCCTGGGTTCGAATCCTACTCAGCCTCTGTTAGCCACATGACTGGACAGTGGTTTCATTTTTTTTTTTTTCAGCTTTTGTTTCCCCTTCCTGAAATGGGAGTTATGGCCTGTGTTTTGTAGGGGGTGCAGCGCTGAGTATGGTTCCTGCATATGACTCAATTTCCCATCTCCCCTTTCCTGGGCCTTGGGGAACTAATTCCAAAGCATTTCTGCCTTCCTTTGTGCTCTTATAGGGAACACCTTCAGCACCCTAGCAGGGCTGGTCTTCGACTGGACGATTGTGAAGGACACAGAGGCAAATGGATTCTCAGACTCCCACAATGCACTGCGGTAAGAGGCACCATGGCATGGCATGGCCACCTCTGAAGGGAAGGGGATTGTCCTTGGACTCCTCACAGACTGAGGACTCTCATCTCCATCGAGGAGCCTGGAATGCTTTCCAGGACATCTGTGACATTCACAGTGACTGAAGAAGGAAAAGGGTGTGAGGGCACCTGGCTGCTTCTGCAGTGCATTTCAGTGTGTTCTTTGGGGGTTTGGCACAAAGGTCAGGATGTCTAGCTGGAGAACAGAGATCACACAGATAACGAAAGGCTGTTTCAGGTGCAGGGGATGTGTGTGTGGCCCCAGACAGGCAGTACTTCCTTGGAGAGCAAGTTAAAGGGAGGCAGGCTTTGGCTGAGAGGACAGGCCATCAGTCACAGCTGTTCTCAGGCAGAACAGGCTGGATTCCTCAGCATGGGATGCAGACAGACTCACAGGGAGGTATGTGCCATGTGCATCTGGACTCATTTCATCCCTCCAATAGCCATATGGGCTGGACACACCTCTGTCCTTTCCATTTTTCAGCCATATATGGTGAGCCTCTTGTCTGGGGTTGGTAAAGTTGTAGATCTGTGTAAATCTACACTGTTCAACATGGTACTCACTGAGCCCTTTTTCAAGTTAAAGTTGAACAGAATAAAAAGTTGAGTGCCTGAGATGCCATAGTTACATTTGAAGTCATGGTTAGCAGTTCTGTGTGGTGGGCTGAACCATGTCTCCATGGTTGTGGAGTCAGCACTGGTGCAGACTCGTGATCTGAGCTAGTGTTCCCTACTATACTTCTTTGCCTTATGCTTTGCTAAAATAATTTTTTTCCCTGTGCAACTGGGGTTTAAACCTGAGGGCTTCACACTTGCAAAGCTTAGCTCTACCTTTTAGCCATACCTCCGGTGTGCCTCTGGTTAGTTTGGAGATGGAGTCTCACAACGGATTTGCCTGCACTGGCATCGAATCCTCCCAGTCTCAGCTTCCTAAGTAGCTAAGATTTTAGCCGGATGCCACTTTTTAAAGATTGCAGTCCCTTTTGAAGGAAGAAGACTTAACACTTTAAAAACTGCAATAATTTTAAGTCTCCAGAAAATGTGCCAGTACAGTGTACAAAGCAGTTTTCCCTGAATCATTTGAGAGCCAGTGAATGTACTGTCACCCTTGATTATTTTAAGGTGCATTTACTGCCACTGAGGACATTTTTTCTCCTGTAACCACCTACGCAGGAGGTGAAGCTAGGAGGATAAAGACCTCTGCCGGCCCAGGTGAAAGTGAAAAACAAACTAAAAAGCAAAAGGAGGTCCTGACTCAAGTAGAGGCTCTAAGCTCAATCCCCAGTACCACCAAGAAAAGGGGAAAAGAGACAAAAAAGGGCATTTTCTTGTACATTATAGTAAAGTCATGTCATCAAAATTAGGAAACTGATACAGATCTGTGTAGTCTTCACATGTCATTGAAGTTTTGCCAGTTATCCTAGGTTTGTTCTTTGAGTCAAAGCAAACAAAACCAGTCCAGAATCACATACCACATGTTGTCTCACCTCTGGCCTGTCAGCCTGAGTCAGTTTCTTGATCTTTCTTTGACTCTTGTCACTTTGACACTTGTGTCCAGCTCTTTTGGAGAATGTCCCTCCTTTTGGATTTACCTGATGTTCTGTCATGATTCTGTCAGCACTTTCCATTTTGGGTAGGGATATCATAGAAGGGACATTAGGTATTCTTCAGTTGTCTCCTTTCGTGATTCTGCTTGCTGTATTACAGATTACACTCTGGTCACTGTGGCCACTTGGTTGAGCTAGTCTCTGCCAGGTTTCCCTACTGTGAACTATGAAGTTACTTTTTCTTTTTTCTTTCTGGTACTGGGATTTGAACTCAGGATCTTGAGCTTACTAGGCAAGCAAGCACTCTAACACTTGAGCCACTACCCAGCCCTTTTAGCTTTAGTTATTTTCCAGGTAGGGTCTTATACTTTTTTCCCAGTTGCCCAGGTGACCTCAGACTGTGATCTTCTTACCTGTACCTCCCACATAACTGCCATTAGAGGCACATGCTACCACACTTGCCTTGTTCTTTGAGATAGGGTCTTGCTAAACTAAACCTCAAACTGCTATCCACATTTGGACTGAAGCTGGTGGGCTCAAATGCCCATTCCCAGACTTTATGCAGACAAAGCCTGGGTCAGGATTCAGGAGTCTACAGTTTTCACAAACATTCATAGTTCTGATGTAGAAAGTTGCAGGGACGTATTTCTAAGCAGTGCTGATCAGTGATGGGGACACTACTTATTCCAGGGTCTAGCACCAGGTGGGAGGCACGGGTAAATGTGGAAATTCTGTGGGATTCTAGGGAATCTTGTGCTCAAATCTTACAACATGCTTCTTTTCCAGAATCCTTACCTTCTTGGAGTCCACATACATACCTCCTTCGTACATCTCAGAGATGGAGCAGGCAGCCAAGCAGGGGGACACCATCCTGGTGTCTGGTATGAAGACTGGGAGCTCCAAGCTCAAGGCTCGCATTCAGGAGGCTGTCTACAAGGTGGGCTGTGGGTACTGCACTTTGGCATGGGACCAGGTTCTGCTCACAATCACAGTCACTCTGGGTCATGGAAATGACCCTATGGTGTGGTAACTTCGAGATTTTCTTGTTGGTTTGGTTTGCATAGGAAAGGGATGTTGAGGCACCAGGTGTCTCAAAGCATTGTTCCTTCTTAGTTTTTAGTGAGATCCCAGAGCAGCAGGATTTTTCACACCTACCTTATCTGAGACTCAGAAAACCCAGGGCTCTGGGTGTCTTCTGTGTAGTCTCTCCCAGGACCCTGCAGAAGCCCCAGGTTTGGTCCCTCAGTGGTCCCATGTATGGAGGACTGCATCTTCCCACCCCAATGCCCCCTATCCCATGTCTTTGTAGCTCTCCTCAGAACCTAAAATGGGGGGATGTATGTGTCAGTGCACCATTGTCAGAGGGCTGGCATGGGGAAGGAAGTCAGGTGCAGGCTTAGCCAGGTTCCTGGATCTTTCCCAGTTCTTTTGATTTGATGTCTTCTCAGTCCATGCCTCACTTTGACTATGGCCCTAGATCTGCCTTTCACCTGCCTAGCTCTGGAGCATAGGCAGGAGGCTGGGGAGCTTCGCCTGCCATTTAATTTTGCATAGTGACAGCAAAGAGATGTCCTCAGAAGAGAACGTTGTTTAATGAGTGATTTGGAGACCTGGAGAGTTTTGGGAACATGGGGACATGCTGTGTTATGGGAACTAGTCCCGGAGGGTTCTGCAAGTAGCACAAGGAGACAGTTTGCCCATGTGCATTGTCCCAGGCTGGGATGGGGACCATGCCCCACTACTGAGCTGGAAAGACAGATTAACTGTCCCTACCTGCCATGCTAGAAAGCACCAACTGCAAAGCCCAAGCCCTCAGGAAGTACTGGGGAGGTTGGTTTTTTCGTTTGTTTGGTTTCTTGGTTTTTAACTTAGTGTTCAGTGAGAAAACCTGTAAGATATTACAACAGGCTCAAAGGAAAATCCAACTCTCAGACATGGGTGTAGGTCATCAGGGATGCTGAAATGAATTTACAGAGAGATGCAGAACTGTCCAAAATCCACAGGACAATAATCAGTTGCACCTCTACCAAGAACAGTGTATTTTGTGTTTCTGCCAACAAGAATCGTTTTCTATACTATCAGTTTCTGTCTTAGGGTTATCAGATAGCCCTAAGACAGTAAAAATGACAGGCTCCCTGAGAATCCACTACCCTAGGGATAAACAGGAGGCCGTGGAGTCCTTCTCCCATCTCAGTCTTTCACATTTTTCCTGAGGAGGAGGTGGAGGTGAGAGCTGGGCAGGGGAGGGTGCTATGGAATACGGGCTGAGGATGCATCAGAACACAATGCTCCCCTTTTCACATTGGCCTGGGGCTTCTTAAACTCCCTTAACCTTGGAGCTTTTGTGGGGTGAGAACTTGAGCTCCTGGTGGCCATGGCATCCATGGATATCATGGCTGGCTCCTCTCATTCCTTTCTGTTTAATTACTGCTATGATACAACATACATAATGTACAGTGAGAGGCTCACTCTCACTGTAGGTTTTTGGCAATGACCTTAGAGTGCATGCTTACTATACATACAGGATTCTCCTGGGATTTCTGGGGTCTAGAGTTGGGGGGTTCTACGTGACATCTTACTTACTCACCTTAATCTCTCTTTTCCCACAGGAACATACTGAAAAGTTAAAAATAAAGCTCTTGAAGTTGGGATGTAGATCAGTGGCAGAGTGCTTGCCTACCATGCACCAGGCCCTGGGTTTCATCTCTAGCACCTCAAATACAAAAACCCTCCCACATGTCCTCATCCCCATTTACTGCCCCACCTCACCTCTTCTGCCCTTTTCTTTATGTGAAGAGTGTTCACCCCGCAGAAGTTAGGCTGCTGATCTTGGAGAACATCCTTCTGAACCCAGCGTATGATGTCTACCTGCTGGTGGGGACTTCCATTGACTACAAGGTGCAGAAGATCAGACAAGGGGAAATTACAGGTATGTCTGTGACTCGGGATTATGGTAAATACTTCCCTCCTTTTTTTTTTTTTAAAGTACTGAGGTTTGAACTCAGAGCCTCATGCTTGCTAGGCAAGTGCAAAAATACACATAACATAAAGTTTACCATGGTGACCTTTTATAAGTGTCCAGCTCAGTGGCATTGAGTCCATTCTTAATCTAGCGTGGTCTTCACCACAATCCATCTGCAGAACCTGTCCATTTTCAAAATTGAAACTCTGTCCACTTTAAACACTAACTCCACACTCTTCTCCCCCAGACCCAGTCAGCCATCGACCTACTTACTGTCTCTGTCAATGTGATTGGCTCACCTAGTTGATTCTTCAACTAAGTGGAATCCTGTCGTGTTTTTCTGTGACTGACGTATGTCACTTAGCATGTCCTTCAGGATATGTATGTTGTAGTGTGTGTCAGAGGTTACCTCTTTTTATTGCTGAATAAGATTTCAGCGTGTGGATAGCTCACATTTGTTATCTGTTCATCTAGGGATGGCCGCTGTGGGCAGTGCCTCTGTGAGTCTGCTCGTGCAAATGTCTGTGTCCCTTCTTTGAATTCTTGTGGGTTCGATTGGCCCCTGGTCTGCTCCTGACTGCTGAGCAAACTTGAGGAAGCCACCGCCCTTCCCAGGGCTGCTTCTCATGTGAGTCCTTTCTGTCTGGATTGTGAGGAAGAAAATGAGTTATTAGGAGTGGAATTGTTCTGGACATTCTAAAGATTGAGCACATGTGATATATTTGAGGGCGAGTACCATCCCCCTAAGAATCAGCCTATTTTATTTAAAGTCACATATGTGTAATGCCAGAGCACAGGGGCTCTGTGTCCTCAGGGCCAGTCCATCCAAGGGATGCAGACAGGTACCTCCTGCTCAGCTGGTAGGTGACTGCCAGGTGAGCAAGGCCTCGATGTGTGCTAAGAGGCGAATTGCTCCTCCACCCCACAGTTCACTTGAAGCCTGTTCTGCGGATGCTGCCCAGCTGCCACAGTTCCTGTGGCTGGCCGTGCCTGGGTGGCAGAGAGCTTGGTCCCTCAGAAGGCCAAGGAAGCTAAGGACAGGCCACCTCCTGCCTCTGCACCCAGCTGAAGGGCGCAGGCTCGTGTTTCTTAAGCATCTGCTGCATGCTGGGTATGTCGACTTTCTGTAGGGTGTCAGCCAAGGGGCGAGGATGCTGTTGTAAAGGATGTGTAAGAAGCCCTGTTCAGGGGCTCCTGGTCAAAGCCTGACGTTGACCTAGACTTTAGGGAAGAAGATTCTGGAAGAATGAGGACAGTCCTAGTAAGGCTTTCTGAGATACCTGAAGGGGAAGGGGTAGAGATAGAATTCTGAGGACACCAATGCAGCATACTAAGGAGGAATTTGAGGGGCAAGCATGTTGAAAGGGCAGAGGGCACAAACAAATGTTTCTGTAAAATCCTATGTGAACATGAACACTGACAAGAAATGTGCTGCAACCTGAAGGACAGAGATCGGGAAGGCCAGGCATTGCCTATAAAGTCTCGCCATGACTGAGCACCTCCTAAGCATCCACAGGGTTCTGAGTGCTCTTCCAGTTATGACCCAACAACTCTCTGAGGTGGTTTCACCAATACCCTGTTGTATAGATGGGAAACTGAGGCATGTAAAGCCCAAAAGTCACAAAGCTGTGGGGATCCTTAACCTTAATCACTCCAATAGGATCCAGTGGAATATGTTCCCTCTGCTCCTTGCCCCCTCAAAAGAAACCCAGAAAAGATTTATAAGGATAATGAAATGGTCTTTCTGGTTCTCCCAGAGGACAGGTAGAGATCATCTCCCTATATGGAGCTCATGGGAGATGAAGCTATCCCTCAGCTGGGGAGGGTGGGGCCAGTGTGGTTAGAGGGGCTGGGCTGACTTTATAAAGAGCTCACTGTAAATCAGTTAATGGCCCAAAGAACTACACATGCCAAGGGACCAGAAAACTTGGAGACTTGGTAACTGACCACCACAGAAGTCAAGCAGGTGGACCCCATGGAAGATCCAGCATGAGAAAAAGACAAGTTGCCTCCCTCTTACCAGTTGGGTAAATGGAAAATTCCTCCAAAAATAAACACACACACATACACCTGTGTGATGGGTGGTGCTGGTTGCCAGGCACTTGCGTGGCTTCCAGATGGATGCTCTGGGAAAACTGAGAAAGGCTGAGTTAGCATAGGTTCACCAGGGAAGAGGCACACAAGCAGAAACTTCTGCATTTTCTTTAGACAGGTCTAAAAACTGAATGTAATTCACATAATTTTCAATAGGTTTGCTAAACTGAAAAGTCGGGAATGACATCATTATAGGAGCTACATTTCAGCAAATATCTGTTTTACACAGCATCCTGTGGGAGGCTCAGAGAATTCTAGGTTGGATGGCAATTCCAGGGTTATCAACCTACTGGATAATTATAATACCAAGTTAATTCTTTATATTTTATTCTTTGCTTTTTCCCTCCTTAAAAATGTAATTTTTCTTCCCCCACCCCCCCACCTTTTTTTTTTTTTTTTTTTGGTAGTACTGGGGATTGAAATCAGGGCCCTATGCTTGCTAGGCAAGTAGTCTACCACTTGAGCCATGCCCTCAGCTCATTTTTCTTCCCTGTTTTTATTTACTTTAGGGATGCCTTCCTTTTCCTTTTTGCTTCCCTTCTTGCAAAAACATTTAGTGTGTGCCAGCACTTTGCTGGGTGCTGAGAATACAGCACATAGTAGGGTGGCCTGGTGCCTGTCCACCTGGAGCTCACAGCTCCATGGACCGGGAAGACAGTCAAATCACATCTTCAAGGAGGGTGTAGAGCTCCTGAGCTTAGAGCAGGGGGAGCTGTGTTAACTGCAGGGTAGGGCTTCTAAGTGAGGGTCACATGTCTTCTACCATCAGTCCTTAGTCTTTGCTACTGGATGTGGAATGCCCACAAAGATTCACTTGTTGGAATCTTGGTCCATAGTGTGACAGTATGGGAACTGATGGAACCTTTAAGAGTGTGTGGTCTTTAGGTCTTTTGGCTTGTTAGACAAGCACTGTACCACTTGAGCCACACCCCAGCTCTTTTAACATTTACTTATTTTTTAGATATGGTTTTGTGCTTTTGCTCTGGGTCAACCTTGGAGATCCACCTACCTCTACCTCCTCGGTAGCTGGGATTACAGTGTGAGCCACCATGCCCAGCTTGTTTGTTGAGATAGGGTCTTGCTAACTTTTTGAGGCTGGACTGAAATCATAATCCTCCCATCTCCACTTTCCAAGTAGCTGGGATTACAAAAGATCGCTCTTATAGGACTCTTGAGTTTTGATGAGACGGTTTTTATGAAAGCCTGAGCCTGTCTCCACCCAGTCTGTCTTAATGTGGTCTGTCATCATGTCCTCACCAGAGCTGAGCTGATGTTGTTTCCACGCCCTTCAACCTGCAGGACTGTGAGATAATTGCCCCTTTTTGTAAAGTACCTAGCCTCAGTTTTTTCAGTGTAGTAATGCAGAATGGACTAATAGAGTTGGCAGTCCTCTTGGTGTTTGGGTTATTGCAGACACGTCCATTACAGCGGTTAGATGATTAGATGTAACAAGATGTAGGAAGGATGTGCTGGCTGATGGAATTGGTATCTGAAAATAGCTTGCATGGTTGGAATGGTGGAAATTATTTTAAATAAAACATACTGATTTGGAAAACCAGTGGCAAGAATCTATGTTGGGCTGAGGGTTATGTGTCAAAGAAAGACTCAGGCATTTAAAGGACATGAAACCAGCATGCACTTGTGCTGTGGCTCCCCAGAGCCTGTGCTATGTGAGCAGGGGCTGGATCAGTAGTAGGGAGTGGCTTTTCAGGCACCCTTGGCTTAGACCTACCTCTTCAGGTGCCCAATGGCCATCCCTGTAGCCTGCATGGGGTGTGGGGTCAGGAAGACACTTATGGTCAGAAGCACATCTGGAGGATTAGGCAGGGTCAGGAGGGGGCAGAGACCCTGTCTCCCAGAAGAACATAGGCCATTCTACCTGCAGAAGATCAGCCTTGGGCAGATGTGATTTGACTGTCCAAGCTACTCCCAGCAAGTCATAGTAGGGAAGTTCTGGGACTCAGGTAGGCCTCCCTCTGTTTGTAGTGTGAGAGAGCAGAACCCAGAACTGGACAGAGACAGTATCCATAACACAGTGGTCCTTACAGGTAGTGGGTTCTGCATCCTAGGACATATGTGAGGAGTCGGTCAAAGAGCCCCTTACTTTCACAATCTCAGAGTTTTTGCAAAGAGGGTTGCTTTTATGCTATGTAACATTCCTTGAGAGTCGGTATTTTCTTCATCTCCCAAAAATGCCTGAACTTGTTAACTTCAGTGTTTGGAGACCTTTAAAGTAAACAAGGTAGGAAGCTTGTGCTTCATTAAGCAACATCAAGCAATGTGGCTTTATTGAGCAATTTTGGGATTTTATAATGACATTTATCCTTGATGCTCTGCTGCCATATTCTGCCCACTGGGTGTGTAAATTGGCAAGAATCAGATCCCATCTTGGCTTTCCCTAATTAGGGACAAGGAAATGGGCTGTGTATATGCTTAGGGATTCTTATTGCTAGCCTGTGTCAGAGTGACCTTGTATTAATCAGTTTTCTGGTCGCTGTGTGACCAAATACCTGACAAAATAACTTTATTTCGGCTCAAGGTTTCAGAGAGCTCAGTTCATTATGGCCAGCTCTGTTGATTCTGGGCCTGTGATGAGACAGTGGCCAAGTTTCCTCACCTCATGGCAGACAGGAAGGGGACAGGATTATGGGGCCAAGATACCCCCAAGGAGCTGCCCCCATTTACCTACTTCTTCAAGCTGTTCTACCTCTTAAAGTTTCTGAAACCTCCTAAAAATAGCTCTACCAGGTGTGGATGAAGCCTTTTTAGGGGACACTGCATATCTAAGCTGTAACAGTCCTGGAAGGCTTGTATGAGCACAGCTTGCTGGGCCCCACCAGCAGAGTTTGATTCAGCAGGTCTCAGGTAGGGCCCATGTGCTGTAGTTCCAGCTGACATTGTTGGTTCAAGGTCTGCACTTTGAGGAACCTCTGTTCTAAGGGCAAATTATCAGAGACTTGTTGGAACACATAAGGAATCAGGATATAGGCAAGTGGCCTCCGTTTTAGAACTATGTTGTAGCTGAAATCCCTTCAGGAATTTTGACCTGGGCATCTTCCATTCCAGGCCTTCAGCTGGGACCCAGAGAGGACTGGTGAGCAGGGCTGCTATCTGTGCTTCCCATGTCCTCCCCCACGCCTTTTTTCTGTGACAAAGTAAACTTGTGTAATTTATTGCACACTCATTCAATAAGATTTATCAAGCAATTTATGTGTGCATATGACACATCTTTGGAGCTCCCAGGGAGGTCTTTAAGTGTGAAGACTTTCTTGTAATAATAGAAGACAACATGTCGGTGGCCTAATTTTCACCTTTCATGTGTGGTTTTCTTTTCATGGTCACAGTGCCATTATTCTGAAAAATGACAAAACTTCTAAGGACCAATGTCTGAAACATTACAGGGGTTGTAGTCCAGTTTCATCTGCTTTCTGCTCTAATTATTACAACGATCTTCTGATTAAAAACATAATTCAGCCAGTTTCCCTAATTTTCAACTGCATTTCACAAAGGAGGGATAGAACATGGCTGCAACTATAGTGACAGTGAGGTGACTGTTTAGGACTCAGAGTCTGAGGACTCAGAAGAGGGAATGTAAAAGCTGTCCTACTCTGGAATAGGAATCTCAGCTTTGCCTTAGCTGTTGGTCTGTGTCTTAGTTCATCTTCTCTTGCTATAGCAAAATAGCTGAAGCTCAGTACTTTATAAAGAAGTTTACTTTATTTATCTCACACTTCTGGAGGTCCAAAATCATGGAACTGGCTCTTGTTCCTTCTGGCTTCCGCTTTCATTCCCCTTGGCGGCTCACATCATGACAGATGGCAACATGGTGGGAATATGTGCAAGAGGGAGAGAGATCACATGGTGAGAGGAGGCCAGAGAGATTCAGAAACCACGCTTGCTCTTTTGTAACAACCTGCTTTTGCTGAAACTAACCAGGGTTCTGAGATAACTACCTTAATCACTTCTCAGGGCACGTCTCCAATGACCAAAACACCTTCCACTAGATCGCACCTCTTAAAGGTCCCACTGCCTCTCAGTACTGCCACACTGAAGACCAAGTTTCCAGCACATGAACTTTTGTGGTTACACTCAGAGAATGTTCAAACCATAGCAGCCCACGAGCAAGGTTATCTGATTTTCTCAGCCCCCTCATCTCTAAAAGGTGGCTGTCAGTAGTTCCTGTTCCCATGGTTGTTGATGGATGAGAGGAGGGAGTGTGTTCATGAGACACCTAGCACAGGTCTGAGGCTTCTCCATTTCCTGGTCAACTGTCAATATTTCTTTTCTTTCTATTCCCAAGGCCGTATGCTAGGCAAGTGCTTTACCACTGAGCTGCTCTCTGTCCTACAGTAGCCATTTGTATCAAAAGTGCTCATGGTCTCTGCCTATATGATGACGAAGATGGTGGGTTTCCTAGTCCTGTTACTTCCCAGGAAATTGTCCTCTTTCCTAGTTCAAGTTAGATGAGTCCTTTATCCACAAACAGACTTGATAAGACACGGAGTGGGTTACACTGAGGATGGTGAAGACAAGAAGAGTCAGTCCTTTGCAATTATAGACCCAGTGTCTGAAATCCAGTGGGAGACCATCCACAGTCTTTGGGAACCCAAGATAGTGGACAGAATCAGAGATGCAGAAGCAAGGATTTCCCTCACTTCAGGAAAGATAAGAGACAGTCTAGTGTTAGCCTACTGTAAGAAACTGGCAATTTAGTCAGAGACTGTTAATTAAAAAAAAGGCTTATAGTAGGCACATAAAAATGATTGCCTCTGAAAATTCATGGAGTGTCAGCTTTGTTCATGGGCATGGAGAATAATATTAAAATGTAAAGCACTGAGAAAATGAAGCAAAACACGTGAAGCAGCTGCACTGACAGCATGGTCCAGGGTGTGGGGCTGGCGCAGGGTTGGTGGGAATCTCTGTTCACATTGGCACTCAGCCCCTCTCTGTGTCTGTGTTTTCCATTCCCAGAGCTCTCCATGCCTTCTGATCAGTATGAGCTGCAGCTTCAGAACAGCGTCCCCAGCCCAGAAGGAGACCCTGCCGAGCCTGTGGCTGTCCTGGCCCAGGACACGTCCAGGGTCACTGCGGTGCAACTGGGACAAAGCAGCCTGGTCCTGGGCCATAGGAATATCCTTTTCTCTGGTTGTGGGTGTCTGTGTAGGTGTGCCGTGTCTGCTGCTTTGAAGTCATGTTAGTTTTCTCCCTGAGAGCCAGCTGAGGCTATAAATAGTCCTGTTTTCCCCCAACCATCTGACAATCAGAAAGAACCTGAACAGCAGCTCTGCTGAGTGTACTGCTCACCTCTGTGTGTGCCTCACCGAGACTCTAGAGATGGAAGATGATGGCGGAAGCTGAACTCATCCCTGGCATCTAGAAACTTCTCTGGTGCCTAGAGCACTATCAGAGGGGACCTGGCAGAGGCTGTTTCCACACTGGCAAACAGGTTGTTGATGTCCTAAAGTTGTTTATATGCCACATGGTTTTTGGCATTCCTTTCTTTGATTCCTCTTTGCTAGGGTAGAAAGCAGAGAGAGGCCTTGACTCTAAAAAATGCTTTGGTTCCAGGTGGCTGAAGGGAGGGTTTCATCCCTTCTTCTGTGCCAGGTGATAAGACTACCTAGCCTAGCCAGGGCTACCAATCGGTTCCCTTGCTGCCTGTTTTTGGTCCCTTAATTAAGAACTCAGGTATCCGCATGCAGGGTGCTTCTAGGCTCCCCAACAGCACCATCTACGTGGTTGAACCTGGATACTTGGGTGAGTGCCACCTCCTGGGGCTTCCTGAACATTGCTTGCTTGTGACTACATGAATTGAAGAAATTGAAAAGCAAAAGCAAGGGTGGGGTGTAACTCTGGAATGCTGCTTGCCTAGCATGTCCAAGGCCCTTGGTTTTATACCCAGCATTGAAAACTAACAAATGAAGAAGAAAAGCAACAGCTCTCACCCTGGCCATTTCTGCTGTCTGCCAGACTCCATGCCATCAGCCCTCAGCACCACACTGGCCTGGACCACTGGCAGGTCAAACTCAGTGCCACATAGCAGAGGCTGGAGCTGAGCCAGGAGGGGAAGCTCTGCAGAGAACGGCTCTGGGCAGGAAGAGAGAAAGCGAGCAGCTCCTCCTGGGTTTTATGCTAGGGCTTCTTACAGACTTGACCACTGTTGTGGACCTTTCAAGGTTGGGGACCTTGTGATCAGGTTAGTGACTGACAGGCCCTGAGGTGATGTGACATTGGCAGAACTTGGCAGACCCAGGGAGGGATGGGGCATCTGAGACAGTAGGAAAGGAGCCTGCAGCCATGGAGGACCCTGAGAAGCACAGCCAGTGCCTGGGGGCTGCCATGACAGATGTGATCTTTGTCACCTGTGTCATGAGAGTTCCCATGGCAACAGTTCCTTGGGCTGAGGTGACTCACTGGTGAGCTCACTGAATTAGTTGAGTCAGAGTTTACCTGATGCACTGTAAATCCACAAGGCCCTCCTGTTAGGTGGCTGAGAACCTGCTGTTTGGTGCAGATTCTAGCTGACAGGGTAGAGATGCCAGGGATTGATACCCAGGAGCTTCCTTTGCTCAGTAGTGTTTTCTTGGTGCACTTCTGTGTGCCTGGCCTATGCTGGGCATAGTCCATGGGGAGTAAGACAGGGCCCTAGACTCAGTTTCTCTGGAGAGACCAACAGAGTCAGGCAGTGGCAGGACAGTGGTGGGGAGTTACTAAGCAGGAGAGACTTCATGGGAAGCAAGCCGTATCATTGAGAGCTTTTGTTGTGGGAAGGACAACCTGGCAGAAGGAATAGCTTGGACCGTGGTGTGAAGGTGAGAAGGCAAATGTGTCATGGGAACAGAAGTAGCTGGTGTAGCATTCTATGTGGGAATAGGGCAGAGAGAGCTGAGGGGCTGACAAAACAAGGAGGGCGCTCAGAGCATAGACCCCTGAGGACAGGATTCAGGTTTCATGAGCTCTTGGGCAGTCAGAGCCAAGTGTGCTCATTTGTTGGTCCCTGGGCAGCAGAAGAGTCGGCTCAGGTTCTCTGGGCTCAGGGTAATCAGGTTCTCCACTCTCAGCAACCAGTCCTCATCTAATATGAGTAGTTGTGGGGCCTCCAGGTGGGTGGGTGTGGGGCCTCATACAGATGATGCTTGGTCTCATCCTCTTCCTCAGCCCCGGTACCCGTGTGGCCTGAGTGCTCAGGCTTCCCCGTTTGCCTATTTTTAGGGTTCATGGTCCACCCTGGTGACAGATGGGTTCTTGAGACTGGCCGCCTGTATGCAATCACCATTGAAGTGTTTGACAGGTTCAGCAACAAGGTGTTCCTGTCTGACGTGAGTGCCTGGTGAAGTTTTGGTGGGGGAGAGCCAGCTCCTGGAGCAGCTGCCCAAAAAGCAGCCCCAAGGCAACAGGGGTCTCCACATAGGGAGTCTGAGGAGGGGTCTTTGGCATCCTTTGGTGCTCCTAGGTCTCTGGAAACACTGTTGGAGGGTTCCTGAGGCACCTCAAGACTCTGTGCGCCTGTGAGTCTGTACTACAGCCCTACCAGCAGACCCCCTGCAGGGCTGGAGGGAGAGGGTGTCCTAAACAGCAGGGCCCAAAGATGAAGGGGTGGGGAGGGACCTTTGCTCACTGCCCTCCTGCCCCCTTGCATTCAGCCTGGGGTCTCCATTCTGTTCTTGCTCTGCAGAGGGCCAGGATTCATTCCTGAGCCTAAGAATTCCTATAGCCCTTCCAGAAGCCCCTGAGTGACTGAGACCCACCTCAGTTAGCTTTCTGGCTTTGGAACGATATGTAAGAATGAATGTGGATATGGAGGCATGGCAACCTTTCTTCTGTCCCTTGTGAGAACCTGCCTAGGCTGTCAGATCATCCCAGATGCTCCTGGTCGTGGTGGAGGTTTTAGGGATGCCAGGTTCCCCTCAGTTCTGTCTTCACCTTGCTAAATAAAGACTGGGGTGATTGCCATTTGGTTTGAAGTCAGTTCTCAGAGACATAGTGTCCTGTTTTTGTATTTGGTGATTCCTAGTGGAGACTTTGGGCTTAGGGAAGGTGACAGTATGCTTCAAGCTGCCCTGAGCACCACACAGGGAGCTGGAACTGGAGGACCAGGCCATCATGCAATGCAGGGAGGATGATTGGAGGGGGTCAAAGGCCTGTGCGGTCAGAGCATGGCTCTTGCCTTTGGAGGTCTCTGAACCCTGGAGGGCTTGTAAGCTTGACCTGGCTGACTTTTTGGTGTACTGCATCTTTCCTGAAGTAGCACTTTTCTGAGTCCCCCAAACGCACCTCTCACTTGTCCTGCTCACCTTCCAGAACATCCGAATTGAAGCTGTGCTTCCTGCTGAGTTCTTTGAGGTTCTCTCATCTTCCCAGAACGGGTCATACCATCAAGTTAGGGCAATACAGAGGGGCCAGACGACCATCCATGCAGCCCTCACCTCTGTGGTAGACCAGGCAAGTTGGTTTCTCCCCTTTTGCGTTCCCTTGGCCCTGGGCCCACACAGTTGGCCTTTGAGGGCAGAAATGTCCACTGGAAGGGACAGGTGCCCCAGGTCCTACCCTGCTGTACTGCTCTTCTGGGGCCTGCAGAGGTCCTTACCCCTCTGAGCTCAGGACCCAGCTGCCCACACTGCCAAAGCCAGAGAGCACTGGACTCTTCCTCCCCTCTCCCTGCTTCTAGAAGGCCTGGGCTTCCCAGGACTGAGAGGGAACTCACGTTTGGGAAAACAGCATTGGTCCTGTCATTGCCCCAGCCAGGCCCACCAGATCCCTTTGCCTATTCTGCCTGCTCAGATCCTACAAGGTAGGACTATATTCTTCACTATCAAAAGACTGATCAGTTTTGGGTAGGCACAAAATTTTATAGATCAACACATTGGCAGGGTGTCCCCTTTTTCTACCCTGAGCAAATCCCCTCCAAACCTATAGGAGGCAGCAGTGTGTAGCACAAAGGACAGGCCAGGGATGCCTCAGTGTCTGCCACTGCAGCTGTGGGATTTGGGAAAAGTGTTGTGAGCCTCAGGGACACCAAATCCATCCTGTTGGGCACCCTGAGGACTTTGGCCAACAGCATTCTCATGGGTGGCCATTATAAAGCTGTGCAAAGCCACCCTACAGAGCCCAAGAAGGGTGTAGGTTGTCTGTCCTCTTTTCCACATGTCCACCAGCACAAAACTACCTTTGTGGCCTGGAGTGGAGTGAGGAGTGTGAGGGTCTGGGAATCTGAGAAAAACTACAATGACCTGGTTGTCATGGTGACATGCAGCAATCTCACCCCTTGTAGGACGGAGGTGTCCATGTTCTACAGGTACCTGTGTGGAACCAGCAGGAAGTGGACATTCACATCCCAATCACACTGTACCCCAGCATCCTGACATTTCCATGGCAACCAAAGACGGGCACCTATCAGTACACCATAAAGGCATGTGAGATCTCACCTCTGGATGCTTTCCTTGGAGTGTTTCCGTGGCATTATGGCTTGTGGTCCATTCTGTTACTTTTATTATTACCCTCTAGAGGTCAGAGCTTGTGTTAAATCAGAGTCCTCATGATTTCTGTGTTTCCAGAGGTTTCCATCATAGCAGAATAGCTAGTTAATTGGGAGAAAAGTACAACTTGGACATAGAAAAGACACAGTTTTGAATTCCGCTTACTAATTTTTCTAACACATAGTATTTTTGGTTTTTTGGTGGACTGGAGTTTGAACTCGGGACTTCATGCTTGCAAAGTAGGCACCCTACCACTTAAGCCATGCCTCCAGTCCCTCTTACTCTTGTTTTTTTTGAGATGGGGTCTTAAGAACCATTTGCCCAGGCTGATCTTAAACCACAATCCTCCCGATCTCAGCCTCCCAAGTAGCCAGGATTACAGGTGTGAGCCACCAGTGCCTGACTTAATGCATAGTATTTTTGAAAGCAATATAAATACTTAGAGAAAAATTGAAATAGAAGGGAAAATGTCCAACCCTGCCTCATACCAAGTACCTCACTCCTTAATATTCATGTTTCCACATGGCTTTAGGCAGCAGGCATTGACCTCAGATGGGGTGTGACCCCTGAGAGCGGCTCAGTCCCATCACATCTGTGGTCCACCAGGAGTAATGACAGTGTCCTGACTGCACCAGCACCTGGGTTTGGGGCTATGTCCCCTTATCTGGAAGAAGAGGTACTGTCGTTTGTTTCCAGCAGACGATTAGGAATGGGCAGTATGTATGCTAGGTAGAGCTTGTGTCTCATCACAGAAGCAGGTCCTGTAGTTGGCTCCATGGCCAAGGCTAGTTTCTACTCCAGCCTGAGCTATGGTAGGTGCTACTAGGTTGTCACGGTTTTGTATTTCTGTGTCAGTCATGAGGTACTCAGAATATGAGGACCAGAAATGAGACAGGATGGACAGAGCAAGGGCCAAAAAGACTCTGGCCCAAATGTTGGTCCATGCCACAGTTCCCATGGGGAGGACATCGGTCATGGGAGTGTACATGGTAAGAGTGTGAGTGTGTGAATAGGCATATGTGTGTGTACTGATTTGAATGTATGAGAATGTGTACACAGGGGCACAATAAGAGCATATATGTTTGCATGGGTGGGTGTGTCAGTGCATGTGTCTATTCATGAGTTTATGAGTGTGTGAGTAAGGTGTATGGCTATGAATGTGTAGGCATAAAATGTATGTGAGAAAGTATAAGTGAGTGTATGTGATAGTGTGAGTTGGTTAGTGAGTGCAAACGTATGTAAATGTGTTTTGGTAGCTATCAGTTTGTGAGTAGGTGGGTGAGCATGTGATTGTGTGGCATGCTTGTCCCTGACCCTCTCACTGTCCCATGCAGGGACAAAGCAGGTAGCCAATTGATCCCATTGGTTATTTTCTTTCCTAGGCTCATGGAGGCAGTGGGAACTTCAGCTGGTCTTCATCAAGCTATGTGGTTGCCACAGTCACTGTCAAGGGTGTGATGACCACAGGCAGTGACACTGGACTCAGTATCATCCAAGCACATGACATTCAGAACCCTCTGCATTTTGGCGAGATGAAGGTGAGTCATTGGGGGAGGACTCCAGGTGAGGGTTTCAGCAGCACCCCACTTATCCAGCCCTCACAGTTCATTCAGTAGCACTTTCGAGCCATTTGTTGGTCCTGTGCCAGTGTTGACAGCAAGCAAGGAAGTGATGGCAGTCCCAGCTCTGCCCTTGAGGTGCTCAGGGCCTCATGACAGGGAGAGGTGGATAGAATCCCCCACACCAAAAAGCAATGGGACTGGAAGGGCCAGTACCATAGAGCCAAGGTTTTTGGAGGGGAGACCAGGGAACACAGAGGACCAGAGAGAATCACAGCTGTTTTAGAAAGGTTTCCGTACTGAAAGCTATGAATCTCGGGCTGGTGGAGTGGCTCAAGCAGTAGAGTGCCTGTCTTGCAAGCTTGAGGCTCGGAGTTCAAATCCCAGTGCCACCAAAAAAAAAAAAAAAAGGAAACCTCCTTTGATCTGAACTGGGAGTGGTATTGAGGACTGGATTGTTTGGATTATAAATTCACAGAGAAAGGGAGCTCCAAGAGACCAGCAGGCTTCTCTCCCCTGTTCAGGCATAAAGTCAGGTGACCACTGTGCAGCTCTTGCCTGGGTTTGACCCTGACTCATTGGGAGCATCTCATTTAGCAGAGGTGTCAGGGGATGGGGGTGTCACCTGTAGCTAACCTTCTGCCAGCTGCATTTATGGCCCCTGACTCCAGCTTTACCTGAGCCCTGCTCTGAGCTCCTCCTTTAGTACCCCGGAGTGAATCTATCCTCTGGGTTCTCTTACTTTGTTGGGAGGTGGGAGGAAAGATGTTCTGGTGTTTTTATTGTGGTCCGCACACATCTACTCCTGAGATAGATCTGATTCTCAGACAAAGATGTATTTAACAGAAGCCCTTCAAGAAAGCACAATTGCCCAGTTTTTGGATCGGCTGTGACTACCTTCCCAGGCTTCCTCCTCCAAAAATATGCCACCTTTTCCCATTGCTCAGCCAAAAGCCTGAGAACAGTCCTCAAGAGGCAGCAACCCAGCCTGACTCCCAGCTGTCCTTGGGTCATCAAGGCTATTCCTTGTGCTAGGTTGTGCATCAGGACAGGGCAGCTGATTGGAGCAAATGGGTGAGGAGGGTAAGCTGTGACCCCAGGACTGAACTTGCAGTGTAGTGAGGGTGGGGGTGGATTTCTCTGAGAACCTGCTGCTGCCTCTCTCACTCTTCCTGGCCACTTGCCGCACACCCCCATCACACCCATCAGCTGCACATTCAGAAAATGTCTCAGTGCAAACCCGGCCAACTTCTACACCACCGTGCCTGGCCAAGCTACTACTATCTATCACTGGGATGCTCCAGCAGCCTCCCAAATGGTTACCCAGTAGCCGATTTGACACAGATAATAGAGGAATGGGCATTTCTTAGGTCTCCCTAGCTTAGCCACCCAACATCCGTCCCAGGGTACCAACCCTGCAGGATGTGGCTGACTGTCCTCAGACCCCTCTCTCCCTTCCTCTCTCCTCCTCCACGCTGCATCCACACTGGCCTCCTTTGTTCTCTCCTAGCATCCAAGCTGCCATGTACCTCAGACTGTCCCTTTATCTGGAGTGTCTCCCCCACACCCCTAGACTTTGGACTGGTTGTCTGTGATATGGCTCTCAGGTCTGAGCTCCTGGGTGACATCTTAGAGAGGCCTTCCCTGACCACTCTGTCCCTGAATACCCCATGCCCACCTCTCCCCTTTCCATGGGTGTCCTAGGCATCCCGCCCACAGCTGTTTAGTAAACCCTTGGCCCCTGGGCCTCACCCCATCCTCCAGGTGTATGTGATCGAGCCCAGCAGCATGGAGTTCGCCCCGTGCCAGGTGGAGGCGAGACTGGGTCAGACCCTGGAGCTGCCCCTGAGGATCAGCGGCCTCATGCCCGGCGGGGCCAATGAAGTGGTCACCCTGAGTGACTGCTCCCACTTTGACTTGACTGTGGAGGTCGAGAACCAGGGTGTGTTCCAGACACTGCCAGGTAAACCTGCACTGCCCAACTGGTGCCTGACAGCAGAGTTGGGATCAGATCACTTGGGTGCCCTCTGTGGGCCACCCAGGTTCCTAAAGAGAGAGCCTGGGGCAGCAGGGGGGCCACGATTGGAATGGCCTTTGACATCCTGTCCAGCTTCGGCTCCCATCTGTTCTGAGTCTTTCTGGCCATATGATGTTTGGCAAATGATTTGCTTTTCTCTGCCTCAGTTTCCACATCTCTAAAATGAGTGTTCTCTGAGTAGAATCACATGTCATGTATGTACTTCATTGCAGGTGCTCAGAACGCATCATACGCGGGGATTTTATCTAGTTACAGTTATGTTGCTGTGTAACTATATGACCTGTGCCTCCTGAGCCTGCTCATCTTTTCTCCTCAGCTTTTGCTGCGGCGTGTTTACACTGGTATTGGTGGTGACCCTAACAGTGGCAGTTTATGGAGTGTCATCCCTATGGCTGTGGGGCCTGCACTTTTGCATCCCTAACTTCATTTAGAATTTGCACTCACTGTAGTAGGAGGAGATGCTCTTGAGCCATGTGTCAAATGAAGAAGCCAAGGCTGAGTTGCCCACAGGCACATCTGGCCTGGGCAGGGCTGGGGTGCAGGCCTGGGCATGCCCATTGTGCCTATGAGATGGGGCCTCTCGGAAGTGTGGACTCTGGCAGGGTGACCATTCTGCTGTGATTTTGTGATGAAGAAAACCAAGGGACTAATGAGCTATTGGGTAGAAGTAGGATTGGGCAGGTTGCTGGCAGTAACAGGGACAAAATTTGATTGGTGAGTGTACCTCTTTCAGGGCCCAGCGCCCAGGTTGCTTATCAGGCTTGCATACACAGTGAACCTCGAATAGCAGGACCTGTCCTATATCAGAGGGCTCAGACCTAGTGTCCAGGCACTGAAGAAGCACTGAAGCTATTGATACAGAGGAGCATTGTCATCCTGGAAGTGCTTGCAGTGTGGCCTGAAGAACCAGGTGTCTGCATATTACATAGTTATGATGACGGACGGAGATTCTGCAACTTCACGATGCGTAGAGGAAGGAGGCCGGCACGTCTCCAAAATCCCTGAGCTAACCAAAAGCAAAAGTCGGCAGCATTGAGCAGCCTGGAGTGTTACCCCAGAGTAACTGACTAGGATGGAAGAAGTAGCATGCCCAGGAGAGAGGCCAGCTGGCAGCAGGAGGTGTGCTGGCTGTCCCCTGCACCATCCCTACACCAGTCCTGCAGGGGCATCTACAGGGTGCAGCCCAGGTATGGGGACAGGACCTGTGAAACAAAGTACACAATTCCTGGGCTCAATTCTCTTACTGGTTATGTGATGTCAAGCATGTTGCTTGGTCTTTCTGAGCCCTGGTTTCTCTGTGTATAATGGGGTTGACAGCCCCTTGCCTATTTGAGGGTTGCACATGGATATCCCACAGCACAGTGCAGGATACTTTTTCAAGGAGTCTGAGTTCAGAAGACTGCAACCAAGACAAATCCTATGAGGTCAACATTTCCCTTAGAAAGTCCCTTAAATATCCCTGGTGTTGTGGTGTGTGTGCACGTGCCCGTGTGTGTGTGTGTGTGTATGTGTGTGTTTTGGCAGTACTGGGGTTTGAACTCAGAACCTCATGCTTTCTAGGTAGGTGTTCTACCACTTGGGCCACTCCATCAGCCCTTTTTTGTGTTGGATATTTTCCATATAGGGTCTCACGAACTATTTGCCCTGGCTGGCCTTGAACTGCTAACCTCCTGATCGCTCCCTCCTGCGAAACAAGGATTACAGGCTTGAGCCACTGGTGCCCAGCTACCTAGTGAAATGTTTGTGGGACTTTGTGTTGATTTGCTTGTTTGGTCCAGGTTATGTAAAAAAAAAAATTCATCTTAGAAAACTGGATTTCTAGCTGAGGGAGACAGATACTGATGGAAGTCCTTGAGACTTGAACCTAGGCCAGAGCATCAGGTGCTTTGTGGCTGGGGCATATGCAGCCCAGAGAGCAGGTGGGACAGATGTGTTCCCAGGATAGATAAATGGTCTCTGTTCAGAGCACACATGGTAGGACTGGTCAGGTCTCTGTAAGGCAAAGGCAACTTATGGAATGGGAGAAAATAATTGCAAATAATTTACCTCACAATGGGTTGGTATCTAGATTATTTGAAGAAATCTGTATGTCAACAGCAGTGACCCAGACAATGTGATTGAATAATGATGAGCAAAGGACTTGAATAGACACTTCTCCAAACATACATAAATAACCAAAAGCACGCAAAAAGATGCTCAACATCATCAGAGAAAGGCAATGAAAAATTACACCCTTTAGGATGACCGCTATCAAAATGACAGGAAGCAAGTGTTGATAGGGAGCAGGAGAAATGGAAGCTCGTGCTCTGTTGGGAGAAGGTAAAATGGTGCATCTGCTGTGGAAAACTATATGGTGGTACCTCAAAAAATTAAACATAGAATTATCTTATGCTCCGGAAAATCTCCTTTCTGGGCATATACCCAAAGATTTGTTTTCATTGTTGTTTTGTTTGTTTGTTTTTGTGATATTAGTGTGTGAACTCAGGGCTTTGCATCTGCTAGCCACAAGCTCTACTGCTTGAGCCAGGTCCCCAGCCCTTTTTGCTTTTCTTATTTTTCAAATAGGGTCTCACCTTTATGCCCCAGCTGGCCTGGACTGTGATCCTTGTTTATGCTTCCCATGTAGCTGGGATGTCAGGTACATGTCATCACACCCAGTTTATATTGGTTGAGATGTGATCTTGTGAACTTTTTCCCAGGGCTGGCCTTGAACCATGACCCTCCCAGTCTCTACTTCCTAAGTAGGTAGGATTGTAGGCATGAGCCACCGAAACCAGCAACCCAAAGGTATTGAAAGCACACTCTTAGAGATGTATTTGTCAGCTCCATGTTCATAACAGCATTATTTACAGAAGCTAAGAGTACAGGCAACCTCATGTGGTAAAAGGTTGTTCAATCTTAAAAAGGAAGGAAATTCTAGGCTGGGGGCATGATTCAAGTGGTAGAGCACCTGCCTAATAAGTCCAAGGCTCTGAGTTCAAACTCCAGTATAATAAGTGAAAAAAGCCAGTCACAAAATGTTTAATACTGTGCAGTTTTTATAAGTGTTTTTAAAGTTAATTAAAATTGGTGGCAAACAATGGCAGGGATGTAGAACAGCTGCTCGTAACAGTTTATATAAACCGGTAGAAACATTTTAGGAAAGGTACTTACTAATTACTGAAACTGCATGTATACATGACCCATGGCCTACTGTCCCCCTCTTAGGGACACAGCCAACCTAAATGTCAAGGCATGTCCTCTAAAAGATGGGCTCGCAAATTTTGCTGTTAGTACATTTGCTATCAGTATAGCCCAATCTGGAAACAACCCGAATGTTCCCAGTTGCACATTCATACAGCAGAACAATCTATAGAAATGTGGATAAAGGATGTATATCATGCCAACAGTAAGGAATCTCAGACAATATTGCGTTGAGGAAGCCAGACACAAAGGTGCTTGTACTCAGTGGTCCCTGTTACACAATCTGAAGAAGCAGTATAATGAAGGTGTCTGATAGAAGATTGAAGATGAGAATGACCTGTAGGAGATTCTGGAGGTGCTGGTAATATTCTTTTTTTTGACCCAGGTCCTGGATACAGGGTGTGTTGGTTATGTGAGGGAAACAAACATTGAATTATATACATAGGAAACATGCACACGTTGGTATCTGACACACTTTTTTTTTTTGGTAATACTAGGGATGGAAGCTAGGGACTTCTGCACTCTCAGCATGTGCTCTAACACTGATCTACACCCTTAGCTCCTATAATTTTTAAGTTAAAACAAAATCTGATTGTGTGTCAAGCCCAGGATGAGAGGCTCTTGGCCTGTTGCCCCTTTCCTGCCAAGGCAAATTCATGACAACCATTTGGTTCTCCTCTTTGTGCAGGGAGGCTGCCACCAGGGCCTGAGTATTGCAGTGGTGTCAGAGTGAGAGCTGAGACCCAGGGGTCTACCACCCTCCTCGTGAGCTACACATATGGCCACATTCACCTGAGTGCCAGGGTCACTATTGCTGCCTACCTACCGCTGAAGGTGAGCTGAGACTCTGCCCTTCCCAGCCCACCTGGTCTCCTCCTTCACTGCTGTATGCTCTTGGAGGTTGGGTGGGAGTGACTTGTTCCATAGGTTCTAAGCACTGTCATTGTCTATGTGAGCAGGCTATGGGTCCCTCAGCACCAAGTCACCCCAGCCCATTAGACCATAAGGGAGCTTTTTGTTAAAAAAAAAAATACGTTTTCCTTTATTGGAGACTTTCAGGATATCATAATTTTACTTGCCAATTCACTCTTTGATTCAATGAGTAATTATTGAGTGCCTGCCATGTGCCAGGCATGCTTCCAGGTGCTGGGCACAAAACAAGCACAAAGCCTTGCCCTGGAAGCCTGTACGGACCTTGCCAAAAGTGAGGAGAACACAATGGCCAAAGTAATGGAAAGAAACCACTTATAATCATGGCAGTGAGGACCCCACAGCCTGCGTTTCCCTTGTCTTCTGTACATTTCCTTTCCCTTTCAGTATTGTTTTCTGTTTTTTTTTTTTTTCTGGTACTGAGAATTGAACACAGGCTCATGCACAAGCTCTCTACCACTGAGCTATATTCCCACCCATTTTTATTTTTTTATTTTAAGACAAGGTCTTGCTAATTTGCCCAGGCTGGCTGCCAACTTGCAGTCCTCCTGCCTCAGCCTCCTGGGTAGCTGGCATTACAGATGTTACAGGTGTGCACCACCATTTCTGCTGTTTTCTGCTTTTTAAAGTGACAACATAGTTAGAACTAATATATACAGTCAGTCTTGTACCTGCTTTACAACACTTGGTCAATACTGCTATAGGGATTTGAACAAAGGTGCCATCTGTGGCTATTCAGTGTTCACCTCTCAAACCCCTCCTTGTGAACTTCAGCTTGCTGCTGGTTCTAAGCTGTGATAAGTAACAGTGTGAGGAACAGCTCTCTGTTCATGAACTTATTTCTCTCTTGCCTGTTCTGTTATGAGGTGAGATCCCAAGTGGGGAGTTCCCAGATTCACAGGCTATGGGTATTTTCCATAATTTCCCAGATTGTTTTACAAAAAAGGCAAATCAGTTTACATACACATCCTGCCCCAGTGAGGACTTCATTCTCTCCAAAGAACCCTGACTCCATGGGATCTTCATGACAACCCTGACTGTGCTATAGGTGTGCTCACCAAGATTTAAAGAAGACATAGGGGGCTTGCCTGGTCTCCCGCCCCAAACCCGAGAGCAGGGTGAGGACTCAGAGCCCAGGCACTCAGCCTTGCAGCACCTCTGCCTCCCAGAGGAATGCCTAGTCTTCTCCCTCCTCCCTCCCCAGGCTGTGGATCCCTCTTCTGTTGCTGTGGTAACCCTGGGCTCCTCGAAAGAGATGCTGTTTGAAGGTGGCCCCCAGCCCTGGGTCCTTGAGCCTTCTAAGTTCTTCCGGAATGTCACCTCTGAGGACACAGATAGCATCAGTCTGGCTCTCTTAGGGCCCCCTGCCTCCCGGAATTACCAGCAACACTGGATCCTTGTGACTTGCCAAGCCTTGGGTGAGCAGGTGAGTGGGGAGCCACTCCAAGTCTTACCTTGCCCTCAGGGGCCATGGAAACACCTAATCTTCAGAGGAACTTGAGTTCTTCTCTTGTTCTACCCATTTTACAGAAGAGCTAACAGGCTCAGTGAGGTGGGTGACTAAGTGAACACCAGGAAAATTCACGAGGTATGGCAATCAGGATCCCCTATTACACATCAGCTTCTATTGAGCCAGCCTGTTAGGGTTGCCTCCTCCCTCAAGGATGCAACATCTCCTTCCCCTCCAAACTGCAAGTAATGGTGTGAGGTCAGGTATCACAAAGCCAGATGCTTTCAGGGACCTTTAGGCATCAACAGGAGTGAGACCACAGACCCAGGTTTGGCACGTTTTCCTGGTATTTCAGGATACACTGGAAATCCTAACATTTTTGCATGTGGAATCTCTTCATTTTTAAAATGCTAAAACCCAACAATATTAGAGGGCTGAGTGGACAGAACAAAATATGTATCTGTCCTGAATCTCCACAGGGCTGCCATGGCCAAGGCTGAGGGCTGGGCACTTCTTTTAACTTCTTTTAATGGGTCTACTCCTCCATTCCCGGGGAGCTCCAGATGGGAACAAAATGTGTGTAAGTGGTCTGAATGATCCAAGAAAGGCAGAAGAACAGAGCACCCATTTGTTTGGGGATGTGAAGAATTTTCCTGCATGTCTAATAATGCAGAGAACACAGACTGAGTTTAAGGCACACAGGTGCACCACCTACAGTGCCCTTCTGACATCAGCCATGCCAAGGCTAGCTAGGGTAGTAGGAGAAGTACACAGAAAAAGGCCTCACTCCCCACTGGGGTTGTTTATGAAAATGTAATAAAATAGTAAGAGCAATAAATACATAGTACTAAATAAGTAGTAACAAAAATCAAATTAATGACTTAAATTAGAAAGGTTTCCTGTCCTGGCTTGACAAGATCATCTGAGTCTGGCCCTGAGCTACTAGAGTGTGGTTCGTAGTCAGGATCCTTTCTAGAGTCCTCTGTACTGCCAGACTCTGGACTCTCTCACTTGGGGCATTGTAGGCAGACAGAAAGCTTGCTAGAGTTTGGGGAGAACTGCCTTTCCTCCTGCCTCTTGGCCCCGAAGGGTGAGGGGCTACAGGACCAGACTTTTGCTTTCTGTAGCAGGTGTCTCTGAGGAAGTGGAGGGTGTTCCCTCAGGTGGGGCTGTTAGCTGCAGTGCTTGTACAATGAGGGGGCTAGACTTGATTTCAGAAGTCCCAGCTCAGGCAGCTAATATACATTTTTCTCTTTTTTTATATCTTTAGTTTCCATCTCTGAAGCAGCCACTAGGGCTCCCACCAGAGACAGCAAGTAGGCAGAGGATAGGGACCACCTCCAGGCCATGGCTCTGTCTCCACCGCAGGCTTTCTCCTGCACAGTCCCTTTTCTGACCCATTTTCTGAGAATCAGGCTCTTGCACTCCGCAGTGTTTATATCCCCACATCTGCACATCACTGACAGGTGATGTCAGGTCAGGGTGGACTCCTCATTTAAACATCCATGACCTTGTGACTTTCCTAATGTAGCCATGGGGTTTTCTTGGGTCCTGGGAAAGCATCCCCCAATTTCTCTCTTCCCTGGGACATTAGCAGAGGGCCTTACAGCTTTTCCCCTGAGAGTCTCTTAAATGCTGAAAAAGTGCTCTCCACTTATGTGTCTCTGGACCTTTGCCTACCCTCTGAGGTACAAGTGTCACTATGCCCATCCTGCAGAAGAGAAAACAGTCTCAGCTTAGAGAGGAGGGGACTCAACACTCAGGGTATCTGACTGCTTTTGTCCTGCCAGGTCATTGCCCTCTCAGTGGGGAACCGGCCCAGCATCACCAACTCCTTCCCTGTCGTGGAGCATGCTGTGGTGAAGTCCGTCTGTGCTGAGCCATCCAGGCTCACCCTCACACCAGTTTATGCCAGTCCCCAGCTGGACCTGTCTTGTCCATTGCTGCAGCAGAACAAGCAGGTGGTGAGTGTAAGCCATTTTTGGTTAGGCAGGAGGATCTCAACCACTTCTACCCATGGTCCAGTGTTGTGAGGGCTATAATTCTACACCATACCATCTTGATCTCAACAGTTAGTCTGGGCAGGGGGTGTTTTCGTTTAGGCCTTGCTTGGGTGGAAAGGGAGGGTCCAGAGCTGGAGAAGGTGGGGTGACTTTCCAAAGTACAGCTGCTAAGAGGGTCCCTAACTTTCCATATCCCCTTACGATTTCCTCCTTTACAATGGTGTGAGAATGACATGTGTTGATCAGAAAGCACCCTTGGGAGTTTGGATTTGGATCTTCCCCTGGACAAGTGTTGGGCCTGTGATCCTCTGTCGACACTGCACAGAGGCAGCTCCCAGTCAGCCTCATGATCGCGAGGGGAAACAACGGATGCTTGGCGTGTGCTGTATCCATAAGTCACACGCATGTGCAAGCCTGTATCGCACGGCGGGTTTGTGCTGGGCAGCTGTCCCACCTACTGCAGGCTGACAGCAGTGCTCTGAGAACAGTTAGGGGAGGCTGGGTTGAGCTAGGATGCTGGGAAGGTTAAGTGCATGCAAGGCTTTCCCAGCCTACGATGTGCTCAACTTATGATGGAGTCTTCAGGACCTAAGCCTGTCCTCAGTCCAGGAGCTCAGTGAAGGCAGCGCCAGGTGAAAACTGTCCTGTCAGATTCTGGACTCGCTGTCTCCCTCTGCTGGGCAACCTCCCCAGTGGGAGGTTGTGAAACCCTCCTGGTGTCTCCTGTGACTCCAATGTGTTCAGGGCTCCTTGTGTGGGACAGAGTGTGTGTGGTCAGAGCAGGGGTGGGGGCTGTTGAGGAGAGGTGACAGCTGCAGCATTGTCCTGGGACATCAGGGAGCTGGAGTGTTGGGAGGTAAGAATGTCCCTGTGGTCCGTCTCACAGCGTCAATGAACAGAGTGATCAGGAGGCGTGGAAGCTGCCTCTCAGAGCCACAGTGAGACAGGAGGTCCACGGAGAGGACAAGTGGAGGTGGCAAGTGCTGAGAGGAAAGTGAAATGGGGACAGACTGGCTGGAGTAGGCACTGCACGAGGAGCAGGGCAGGGAGCTGCCATCCTAGCAGAGGAGGGGCCTTAGGCAGGAGGAATAGCAAAGGTAAAGTCCCAGAGGCCAGACCAGGGTCTCTGTCATTGTCCCTGTCCACAAGTGACCAGAACAGTTCTGTGTGTTGAGAAGGTTCACCCTGAGACCTGTTCCCCCTCACCATGACCACCTTCAAGGCCAGGGTCCTTAGGCTTCTTCTGCAGGTTTGTCCACAAGAATCAGAGGTGTGCAGAGTTGCAAGAGCAGAACCCAGATCTGTCCAGCTCCAAATGCAGCGCCATCTCAGTGGCCCCTGAGGGCCTTGTGTTTTCCTGGAGCTGTGGAAGAGGGGCACAGTTCGTGTCCGGGTAGTGCAGTCTCTGGCACACCCAATTGAACTTGTCTAAAGCTTGCTGTGTCTGTGGCCTCTCCCACCATAGGCAGAGTGCTAGGGGAGTTGGGTCCCTGGGGTGAGGAAGCACAGCTTTGCCTTTGACCCAGACTCATCTGTTTAAAGCTGGAGGGGAGTGGCCTCTACTGTGCTCTCTGCTGCTGTGAAATCAATTTTTTAGCTTCCCCACGTGAGTGGGAACGTGCAGTCCTTGTTTCTGAACTGGGTTTATCTGGAAGTTTTACATTTAACTCACTTTTGTATTAAGCAAATCACCCTGGGTGGAAGAAATAGCATCATGCGGTCTGGCCTGCTGGCCCCCTTGCCCTGAGGCCAGGAGCCAGACTAGGTGAGGGCAGCTCACGCTGTGGGCTAGTGTCAGGGGCCATTGGCCTAGGTGCTGACCTCCTGTGAGCAGTGGTGACAAGTGACCTGGAGTTGTTGCAGGGGACAGATGTGATTACATGCAAGGGGTTCAGAGTGCAGCCATTATACTTTTTGTATTGTTCTTTGTGTAAAACCTGCCTGTGGTTTCTGTTTCACTCTGAAAATATCAAAGCCCCTTCTGTGGCCTGCAGGCCCTAGGTCCTGGTCCCCAGCCACCCTCTCCTCTGTCTCCACTCCATCCATGCTTAGATAGATGCCTTGTCATTCCCTGCATGTGCTGTCCCTCCTCTGCTTGGGTCTTGGGCTGTCTAGTCCCTGGAGCTTGCATGTTCTCCCAGTGTCCAACCCCATGCTTCCCTCCCCTTCTCCCTCAATTTTTTTTTCAGATTCTCCCTTCTTAATGTGGCCCTCATCAAACTTCACCTAAGCATTCACCTCCTTCAACATTCCAGATTCCCACTCCCACCTCCCCGACCCTAAGCACTCACCATGACCTAGAGCTGTGGAATCTACTTACCTGCTTTATTTGCTGTCGGTCTCCAGAACACAGCCTAGTGAGTTCAATAATTCCTCTCAGATGACTGAAAAGGCAAGCCAAGGAGCACCTGCCCCTGTGTCCCTTTTGTTAGCTGCCCTTGCCATGTGCATGTGAAGTGATTGGAGAACCACTATGGCAGGACTGGTGGGAGTGGGTGGGGGTGGGGAGCTGCTGCCTCTCAGAAAGAGCAATCTATGCTCAGGAACAGATGACAAAATTATAAATCTATGTTCATCTCTCCTGTCCTTATGCATTAGCAATGGATAAAGCAAGGCACATCTGAACCCCATTGTGCTTGTCTGTCTGTAGGCCAGGACCTTGAATTTAGCCCAGGGTTGTCTCTGGACTGAAAGGAGATGATCTGACTGAGGAGCTCAGCTCTCAGGTGGTTTCTGTGTCATTGATGTCTGTAGGAAATAATGGACCTCAGATCCAGAATTGCCATGTAATCCATCAGTCCTCAGGGTCCCAAGCTGTGAGCCAGCCATTCAAGTGTGTCTCCTGTGATTTATGGGGTCATTAGGGGACCTTGAGGAAGATACATACCCCCAGTGCCTCCTGAGTGCAGTACCAGTTTAATTTTGTAGCTTTCCAATCCAGTAGATGAATCAATGGCGAGGTGAGCCACCAGAATGAAGTGACGGAAGAAAGCCAGATTGTAGGCTGACCCCAGTCAGGGTCAGTGTTCTACTTGCTGTGCTTGGGCACCAGTTGTGTGCCAGGGAACTGATTAGCCAGAGCTTTGGTGGAGCTTGTGTCTAGCTCAGGCACCAAGGAGAAGCTGCACAGTGCCAGGTGAGGTCCTTGGGTTTTGAAATCAGACCCATTGAATTCTACCCCTAAACTTGTGTGATTGTGAGCAAGTCATTTAATGCCTCTGAGCCTCAGCTTCCCCATTCATAAAGTGGGAATAGTGTTGAAAGCCCTTACTAGAAGAGCTCAGTTAGCTTACAAGCATGCTTGGCAAAGTGTTGACGTCCTTCCCTGGAACAACATTGACTTTCCACCCAGGGCTGTGTCTGGAAGAAGGGTGGAGTGTCTGGGACAGATGCCTGTAGTCCCAGCCCCCTTTCATAGTTGCCATCGGTATTTGGCATTTGTATTAAATCCTGGGAGTCCTCTTGGAGGTAGAGGTATGTATAGGAGTGCAAGATGGCAAGACTTTGGAACAGTGGGGCAGGAAGGAAGGAAAGCAGCTTGGCTGGGGTGAGTGACTTGGAGTGGGGATTTCAACCTCAAAAGTGGTAATATCCTGGGAAAGACCATCCTTCCCCTTCCTCCCATGGAAAGGGCTTTGTGCCCCTAAAGCAGACACTCCACCATTTAAGCCACACTCCACCCCATTTTTTTCTGTTTATTTTTGAGATGGGAATCTCGTAAACTATTTGCCTGGGCTGGCCTTGAACAGCAATCCTCCTGATCTCAGCCTCTCAAGTAGATAGGATTACAGGTGTGAGCCACCAGCGCCCTGCTCCTTCTTTTTCTTACTAGATGTCAGCTACCTTGCCCCCTATTAGTTGTGCCAGCCAAAATTGCCTCCAGATATTGCCAGAGGCCTGCCTAGTGATAGAAGGGGTCCTTATCCCCACTGAGTACCAGAGGTCAGGTTGGGCAGAGGCTTGCGGGGGGGTTACTTTGGTGGCTGGCATGGTGAGCACAGGTTTGTGATACATCCCCAATCCTTCATCAGGATCCCTGAGCCCCCAAGCAACCAGCTGGCTTCAGGGCACACCATGAGGTCAGCGTCTGATTTTTGCTTCTTATAGGTTCCGGTCTCCAGCCACCGTAACCCGCTGCTGGACCTGGCTGCCTATGACCCGCAGGGTCGCCAATTTGACAACTTTAGTTCTCTGAGCATCCAGTGGGAGTCCACCCGGCCTTTGCTGGCCAGCATTGAGCCTGACCAGCCCCTGCAGCTGGTGTCCCAGGATGATGGGAGCGGCCAGAAGAAGTTACATGGTGAGCCCAGCATCAATCCCGAGAGCTTGGGGTGGGAGGACAAGAGAAGTGAAACCCTGAATAGACAAGAAGTGTCCTGTGGCAGGTTCATGCCTATTGGAGCTCCCCTTCATCCACAACTAAAATGTAAGGTACAGTGTGAGCTCACTCTCCTCCTTCAGTCCGCACATATGTGTCTACTTCTCAGAAGGTCACATACATTCTAGCTCCAAGACCTAGGCTACTTGGTGCCATGTCACAGCACTCACAACCCTCCACAGCCAAATGTTGAGTCCATCTCCTCCCATCCCATGACATTTTGGCACCATGCTCAGGCCTTGTTAAGCTCATTCAGGGTGGATATACAATTTTAGTGAACTCAGTTACCTATTATCAGACTTGAAACTGTAAATCAATAGGGGGAGGGCTGACTTCAGAGACAGCCATGGGGCAACATGCAACAATTTTCTCTCTCTGGACTCAGGTTTGCAGGCCATTTCGGTTCACCAGGCATCAGGAACTACAGCCATCTCTGCCACAGCAACTGGCTACCAACAGTCTCACCTCAAAGCTGCCAGAGCAAAGCAACCGGTACCTCCCAGAGGCCTCCACTGGGCAGGGCCATGGGCAAGGCTGGGAATTCATCCTGTCTGTGCCCTACTCCTGGTATCTGAGGGCCCTGAGCACCACTGATGCAGATCATCAACTGCCATGTCCCCTCCACTCTCCAGTATCTCAGGAGGGGCTCAAGGCAGAGATGATGCTAGTGGGGAGGCAGACGGGTGCATTGAGATGGGAGTGGAAATGGCTGTGCTTGGATGACAGCCATCTTGACTGAGGTAGGGCAGCAGGTGCTGCCTGGAAAGGGAAGTTAGGACTCGATTCCAGAGGACCTAAATGGCAGGTTGAAGAGCTTCATTGTTTCTTGGGAGAAGGGTTTTATCAAGGAACTGTGCCCATGGAAGTGGCACTGGACAGAGGTGGCCGCTAAAGTGTCTCGCCTGTCCCTGATGGCTCTGTCCTTTCCATTCTCACCAGCACTGGGAATCCCTTGGCTTGTGAGTGGCCTAATGTCGCAGGGCTGGAGGAAGGCGCATCGAGCACCCTACAGGGCCTTTGCCCTTATGCTCTTGTCACGATGGGGGCCCTCTCTGTTCTGATTTCTTCCTCTGATCGTCACCCAGGGCTTCCTTTCCTTGAACTCTCCTGACAGTTGCTGCCTCTCTCAGGCACTTACTCAGTGCTTGTGCTCACAGACAGTTACATCAGTTGCTAATGGTGGGGACATGTTTTGTCGTTAGCCAATTCCGTCATCCTGTGAATACCATAGCGTGTACCCGCATAAACTTAAGACAGCTGCAGTGTCACTAGGGGATACAATCTATGGATTCCTGTCATGTACACAGGTCATTACCAACCGAACTGTCATATGGCATGTGACTATAAGAGTATATTAGTTGCACCTGGGTCACATCCAGCACTCTCCCTCTAGTTACGTGTGGCAGGAAACAGACATATACTGTGTTGTATGATACCCAAGGTAGTGAGAGCTGCCCTTGTCCTCCATGAGTCAGCTAGGAAGCTACTTCTTTGGAGCCCTCAGCTGTGTCCTGGACTGGTCAGCACCTGTGCTATTTGCTCAAGTCCGTGTGCTCTACCACGGCAGTGTCTGCCACATGTGCAGTACCTGGGCATTTGCTGTGAGATCCTGAGGGTCAGGTGTGCATGTTAGCCCCTGGCAGGGTGGGTTAAGGTAGCATCTGAGCAGGACTGTTGATCACCACCTCATCTGGTTGGGAATAGGATTACGGGGGGCCTCTAAGGGAATGTGGCCTTTCCATGGGCTCAGGTGCACCATGGTTTCATTGGGGTTTGTGTTGGACGTAACGAGTGTCCTGAGGCAAGGTGAGGACCTGGGGCATCTAACCCTGCTCTTCCAGAGGGGTGACCTGGCGTTGACCATGGTTGCCTGGATCTGATGATTTTGGCCTCACTCCTTCAGCACGAGTCTCCTGTGTCTGTGTCAGCCTCCGTAGAGCTCATTCTGGTGGAGGATGTGAGGGTGAGTCCGGAAGAGGTGACCATCTACAACCACCCAGGTGTCCAGGTATGGCCCTTTGCCCAGCCACCACCCTGCCTTCGAGAGACCCAGCAAGGGTCTCGCCCTCTGACACATGGCCCAACCCCCACTGTCCACATCTCCTTCTCCAGGCAGAACTCCATGTCAGAGAAGGCTCTGGCTACTTCTTCCTCAACACAAGCACCACAGATGTCATCAAAGTGGTCTACCAGGAGGCCCAGGGCATCGCCATGGTGAGCTTGGGTATCATCTCTACCTTGACTTTCCTGCTTCACCTGGGCTGTCACACACAGTTCATAGTATTTCAAAAGCTGCTCTGTGTTGCTTCAGCCAAGGGATGGGCGGGGTCTTTAGCTTGTCTGATTTGCTCAAGAACTTCTGTCATAGCCACGCCACGTTTGTGATTTCTGTTCTGGATACACAAATTACCCACACTGTTGGTTAATCAGTCTTTTAATGAAGATCTCATTTTGTTACATAAGCTGCTCTGTAGCAACCGTTTCTATTTCTCCACGTTTCTTGATCCTCTTCTACTCTGCAGATAAGGACTTAGCCATGCAAAAGGTATGGAAGAACATAGGGTTATGTTTTTGTTTTTAATATCATGTTGTCCTAAGGTTTTTGTCTTTCCTTTCCTTTTTTTTTTTCATATTGCTATGTAGGTTGCAGGTTATTTTTATGCAGTCATTTGGACTTTAGCCATTCTTTATCTTTCTTTTTGTTTGTTTGTTTGTGGTACTGGTGCTTGAACTCAGGGCCTCATATATGCTAGGCAAAAGTTCTACGTCTTGAGCCTAGCCCCCAGACCTTTTTGTTTTTTGTTTGTTTTTCAGATAGGACATCATACTAACTTTGCCCAGTTTGGCCTCAAATGTGATCCTCCTACCTCCACCTCCTAAGTAGCTGGGATTACAGGTGTGCACCACAATACCCAGTCCACTATTCTCTTCTTGTAGAGCATTTGGGTTGTTTTAAGCATTTTGTATTTTTAATAAAACTGAACCTTCTTTCAAAGGAAACTTAGAACTGAATTTGTGAAAAGAATCCTGGAAGTCATAGGTACAGGACAGCCTGGAATGACACCAACCCACCAGGGCCAGTAAATCCCAGTTGGGCTGCTGGTTTTGGGTGGTCTGAGCTTCCCTTTGTTGAAAGGGGGCTGCCCCATGTTCAAGGAGTCAAACCAGCACTGAGACTTGCCCCTAGACTCCACCGAGGCCTGGCTTGCCTGTGGTGGGATTTAGCTCACTCACTGCCTGGCTGACTGGGGGTTGTTTTGCAGTCCCAAGGCCCAACTTTCTCTTCTCCTTGCCTGGCTCAACAGCATGGAGTGAACCTCCATATTCCAGGGAAGCTATTGCTGGAATTAAGCTCTGCTGTGACCAAGTCCCAGAACCTCCTTTCAGAAACACAGCCAGGGCACCTTGTCCACAGTGTTGCTGTGAGTGTGGCGTAGATGGCAGTCAAACGTACTTCCCTCCCTCTGTGCAGGTGTTCAACTGAAATTCTGTTTCTGCTTCTCTGACTTTTCATCCCCTGACTCTCTTGACATGATGGGGGGTTGGGGGGGGCGGTCACAAAATTAATTTGCTCCACACTGGGACAGGCGTAAAGTAAGTTAGGAAGACAAGCTGAATGTGAGAGCTTGTTTGCAAATGCTGTGGTAAGTGGACTGAGGTTAATGTCCGTGCTGAATGATGGAGCGGTAGAGGCTGTGGCACCTGGAGAGCGTGAGCTGTGTGTAGAGGGTGGCCCCCCGTGCACCTCGGGCTCATCTCTGTTATTGTGATAGCATCTTTACTGAGGTGTGACTCACATACCGTATACTTCACTAACTTTCTGTAGGACTCAGTGGTCTTAGTATGGTCATGTGTGTGTGCAACTGTCACCACAGTTGATTGTAGAGTATTTTCATTGCCTCAAAAAACCCATACACTTTAGCTATTACCTTTCTATTTCTACACACACACACCTGTCCCAGCTTTAAGGGACCACTAATCTACATTCTAACTGTGGTTTTGCCTATTGTGGACATTTCATATAAAGGGAATCATACCCTACGTGGTCTTTTGTAACTGGCTTCTTTTACTTAGCTAACGTTTTCAAGGTCCATCTATGTTGTAGCATATACCAGAAGTTCATTCCTTTTCATGGCCAAATAATCCATTATATGCCAGTGGATATTTATGTAGTTTCTACCTTTTGACTGTTATGAATAAGGCTGCTATAAACATTTGGGCACAAGTTTTGTGGGGACACAGGTTCACATTTCTGCTGGGTACATCGCAGGGTGGAATTACTGAGTCGTGAGGTAACTCCACACCTGACTTTTCTGAGGATCCAATGACTGTTTTCTCATGTGGCCACACCATTTTACATTCCTGCCAGCAGTGTATGAGGTCCGTCTTCCTGCTCCTCGTCAGCACGTGCAGCTGTCACCCTGCAGCATCTAGCCACTCGCGTAGGCACACAGGTTTCTTCTTGTGGTATTGACTTGCATTTCCCTGCTGTCTAATGATGTTGAGTGTCTTTTCATGTGCTTATTAGACATTTGGGTATGAAGCCTTGCCCACTTATTATCTCTTTACTACTTTTAGAATTTTCTTTGTACATTCTAGATACAAGTCCTTCATTAGGTGTGGTGTGCACAGATTTTCTCTTTTCACCCTTTTTGTTTTGCTGGTACTGGGGTTTGAACTCAAGACCTCATGCTTGCTAGGCAGGCACAATATTACTTGAATCATGCCCCCCCATGCCCATTTTGCTTTAGGTGTTTTTTGGATAAGATCTCATATTTTTTCCCAGGGCCAACCTCAGACTGTGATCTACCTATTTGATGTCTCCTGCAAGCATGCACCACCATAGCTGGCTTATTTGTTGAGATGGGGTCTTGTTAACTTTTTGCCTTGTCTGATCTTGAACCTCAGTCTTCCCAATCTTCCCCTCCTGAGTAGCTGAGATTTTAAGCATGCACTTATGTGCTTTTCTCCCGTTCTTTAGGCTGTCTTTTTACTTTCTTGGTAGCATCTTTTCAAGCTGGTAATTTTTAAATTGTGATAAAGTGTAATATGTCTACTTTTCTGCTATTGCTCCTATGTTTGATATCATCATATCTAGTAATCTATTGCAAATCTGAGCTTGTGAAATTTTACTCTGTATTTTCTTCTAAAAATTTATAATTAAGAAAATTATAGCATACATTAATTGTACAAAGGATTTTATTGTGATATTTATAACTTTGATGTAATATACTTTGATCACACTTATCCCATCTAGGTTACTCTTAACCATTCTCCCTATTCCCCCTTTTTTTTTAGTAGTTTTTGTTGGGTATCACTGTGCTATCACCCTCTCCCCTTCCACCAATTTGTTTCTTCTACCCCTTAATACTCCCCCTTTTACAATCATGTCATATTGTTAGGTTTAGATCCTATATATTAATATTTTAGTCTTTTATGTTTTCATATGAATTTTAGGATCGGCTTTTCTATTTCTGTAAAGAATGGCATTGGTATTTTGATGGGAATTGCATTGATTGCAATTGTAGATTGCTTTCCATAGTATAACCATTTTATAATATTAATTCTGCCAATCCATAAATATAGGAGGTCTTTCCATCTTTTGGTGTCTTCTTCAATTTCTGTCTTCAGGTTTTATAGTTTTCATTATAGAGGTCTTCACTTCCTCAGTTAGGTTTATTCCTAGGTGTTTTTTTTTTTAAGTTATTGTGGATGGAATTGTTTTCCTGATTTCTTTCTTAGTCTGTTGTTGGTACATAGAAGAGGTACTGATTTTTGTATGATAATTTTATATACTGCTACATATCTGAAGGTGTTTATCAGACTTAGAAGTTTTTTGTTGTTGTTGTTGGAATCTTTAGGGTCTTTTAAATATAGGACCATATTACCTGCAAACAGGGATAATTTGAGTTCTTCCTTCCCTATTTGAATCCTTTTTCTTTCTTTCTCTTGCCTTAATGCTCTGGCTAAGAATTCCATTGCTATATTGAGTAAGCGTGGGGAGAGTGGACAGCCTTGTCTTTTTCCTGACTTTAGCAGAAATGATTTCAGTCTTCTGCATTTAGTGTGATGTTGGCTATAAGTTTATAATAAATAGCCTTTATTATATTGAGGTACATTCTTTCTATTCATAGTTTCTTCAGAGCTTTTATCACGAAAGGATGTTGAATTTTTGTCAAAGGCTTTCTCTGTATTTATTGAGATGATCTATTTTTTGTCCTTTATTTTTGTTTATGTATTATATTACATTTATTGATTTGTGTATGTTGTATCCCTGGAATGAAACCAACCTAATCGTTGTGTATGATCTTTTTTTGTGTTGTTGGATTCAGTTTGTAAGTATTTTGTTGATAATTTTAGTGTCTATGTTCATCAAATAAATTAGTCTATAGTATTTGTTTTTGGTTTCAGTGTCCTTTCCGGTTTTAGTATCAGAGTAATATTGACTTCATAGAATGAGTTTGGTAACATTCCTTTCCATTCTGTTTCATAGAATAGTTTGAGAAGCATTGGTGTTAGTTCTTCTTTAATGCTCTGTTAGAATTCAGCAGTGAATCCATCTGGTCCTGGCGCTTTTATGTTGGGAGACTCTTTGCTGCTTCAGTCTCATTCCTTGTTATAGATCTGTTTGAATGGTTTATGTCTCTTGGTTCAATTTTGGTAGATAAAATGAATCTTAAACTCATCCATTTGTGCTGAATTTTTCCACTTATTTTAGAATATCAGTTTTCAAAGCATTCCTTAGTAATCTTCTGGATTTCGTTGATCTTTGTTGTGATACCCTTTTTTCCATCTCTAATTTTATTTATTTGGGTCGTTCTCCTCCTTTGGGTTAGTTTAGCTAAGGGTTTATCAATTTTATTTATCTTTTTGAAGGACCAAGTTTGTGCTTCATTGATTCTTTGTATTCTTTTTTATCTCCACTTCATTAATTTCTGTCCTAATCTTTATTATTTCTTTCTGCATGCTAATTTTAAATTTGGCTTATTGTTTTTCTAGGAGCTTGAGGGCATCATGAGGCTTTTTATTTGAGCTTTTTTTTAATGAAGGCCTTCATAGCTATAAACTTTCCTCTTAGCACTTCCTTTCCTATACTCCAGAGGGGCTGGTGTGTTGTTTTCATTTTCGTTAGATCCTAGGAATTTTTTTCCTTCCTCCCTTATTTGTTTGACCCACTGGTTGTTCATCAGTGTGTCGTTCAGTCTCCATGTGCT